CAAATCAGACTTTTTATATGCAAGGTGCTTCCTCAGGTTTTCCAAAGTTATAAAAGCCTTGATAGTTTCAGTTTTTCTGAAGGAGTGGCCACTTGTCGATGGAGGAAACAAGGCCCAGAATGAGGTATCCACTTAGATTCTGGGGGGTAGTGGAAGGAGAGGTGAAGAATGGTGGTGAGCCCAGACACCTACATGATGCCCAACAGTATGATTGCTTCTCTAAGTCACAAAAGTCTCATCTGACTTGACTGTATTCTACATAAGGTAAGATAAGATGGGCTTTCCTGCATTTTCTGCAGTGTGGTACTTTGTGGATCCATGAGGGAATGAGGACCTGCTGTCCTGGAAGTCGTTAGAGATGTTATGGGGATTGCTTCTTCACCACTGAGAGGCGAATGGGTAGGATTTGTGTATACCAGGTGCAAAAAGAAGCATTTTTATGAAAAATATCCTAGGAGCAATTAAAAATCATGATTAAGTGCATTGGGGAAAATGAGTTAGATATTATATATATGTCATATAATATACATGTCATAATAATATACAGACTCTGTCAAAAAGTGTATACACATTTCAGGAAAAGAAAAATTCATATAAATATTTTAATACTAAATTTATTGAGATATCATAAGATTAATACAAGTTATTTTTTGGCCTCTACAATTACAAGAGGTGCTCAAAGTGGTGCCCATTAGTAGTTCCAGACATTTGTTAGTACAGAGAACCACTGCTTGGGTAACCTTGGTCATTAAGATTGCTGCACATGCGTTTTCCATTTCTTCTCTAAGGGCCAGCAGTGTAGTGGGTATATGACATCCTCTAGGGTCCCGCATATGAAGGTAGCACCATCTGTTGAAAAAACATCATACTATTTCTTTTTCTGAAGTGTGTATACATTTTTTTGGTGGACACCGTATATTCAGATTGTCTGACAAATAACAATGGACTTATAGGAAAAGCAGAATGGGGCATCAGGATAATTCTGGATTTATTTTCACTGCAGCTATAAATTTTGTTCTTACAGTCCAGCATCACAGAACAGAGAGAGTAATTTGCTACAGAACAAGATAGTTTAACATTAAAAACAATACACATAACAAAACAGGAAACCTTTGTGATTTGTGGTTTAAAGATTATCACAGCTCAATCCACAGTTTTCAACCCAAAGCTGCAGCTTTTCAGTCTGCCCACTTCCTAACAGCTCCACTTATATGTGCTCTGTCGTGTTGTTTTAATTGATTTTTATCATAATAGGAGGGCACTTCTTGGAATTAAGAATAATTTAGTTAAAATACTGCAAGTGCCCTGATAGTACTGTCCCCCATGAAATCAATTTACTTTTCCTTCTGCATTAAATAAGCCCACTAATAGTGAGAAATTCCAGCATAAACTCTCCTTAGGAAGGTCCTTGCAAGTGAAGAAGAAATTCCACTCAAATATGATTTTCCTTAGAAACTACATGTGGTATATCATATGGGATGTATGAATTATCATGACTTTTCTCTTCTACTAGGGGAAGGAAGCTCCCCTTCCAAATATTTATCACAGTATGCTTCTTTATTCTCCAAGAATGGCTGAGAAGGATATTTACAGATTAGTACAATTTCAAGACTAAAGGAAGAAGTAGTCCAGAGTGACAGAATGTGACAAGAGCATCTATTCTGAGTCATAAGCTTTGAATGGTATCTTATATGTCCAACAACCCAATGAATCCATGAACTCTGCTTTATAAATGTCCTGCCATATACTCATCTACTGTCTTGGAACAACCCAGAATGGCCATACTGTGTATCCTACAGTTCATAGTGGGTGTAGAAAAACCTTATACTATATACTTATGTGGTATTCTTATTGTTAGTTTACCTGTAACAACAATCAGTAAAAAAATAAAAGGAATCCAAATAATTGCCTTTGAGAAAATATAAACAAAAGAATGCCTACCATTTGCAGTATGCAAAGAAAAAAATTACATATGCTAGTTAGTCCATGTACCTCCAGAAAATTTTTTTTAAAAACTAGATTGTTATAACTTATAAGCTAAGAATAAAGGACAAATGTAAAGTATAATAAGAAAGATTCCACAAAATAATATTATTTCTAAAGAAAGAGAAAGATAAATTTACATCCACTTCACTTGTCTCAAATTTTCTCTTAAATTCAAAAAGAAAAAATATTGGAAAGCCCAGTACTATTCAATAACCAAAATAGAAATTCTTCCATTCAGTGACATGCTTTGAATGTAACTTAGTTCTGCTTAGTAATATTCTAATCCAAGGGGTTCATTCATTTTCTCTAAAGCCCTGAGTTTACTATCTCCAAATTTCAAATCATTACCCATCAGATAGAATTAACTAAATCTCTAGGAACAGTATAGAGGACACCTTTGTTTTTACTTGAAAGTTTCATGAACGATGAATAATATTCTATTGTGTAGAAGTACCATAATATCTTCTTTTCTTTCTTTTTTTTTTTTTTTTTTTTTGGTACCAGGGATTGAACTCGGGACCTTCCACTTGGGAGGAAGGCGGCGGGCAGCACTGCTGAGCTAAATCCCTGGCCCCCATAATATCTTCTTAAATTTTAAAAAATTTATTTTAATTGGCACATAAAGACATAAAAATTGTGCATGTTTGGGAGGGGCCATGTGATACATGTCTACTTTATGTAATGTTGTAAATCAACATACACGTATCTATCACCTTAAGCATTTAGGTTTTTTTTTCTTTACCGGTACCAGGGATCAAACTCAGGACCTTGCACTTGCCTGGCAGGCACGGTGCCACTGAGCTACATCCCTGGCCTGGCCTTTTTTTTTTTTTTTTTTTAATGGAGCCATTGAAAATCCTTTTTTGTAGCTTTTTGAATACAGTACATCATTATTAAATATAATCCCCTTCATGCACAATAGCATACCAAAACTTCTTACTCCTAACTCTAATTTAGAACCTATTAATCACCACCCTCAACTTTTTTTCTTTTACCAGGTTTAATGTGTACTGTATCAATTGGAAGGCCAATTTTTAAATACTGGCACAATAACTTGCAATAAAGCCATTTCAAATGCCTATCAGAGCAGACAGCTCTATCTGCCTTTGTACTCAAGAAAGTACCCACTATCCTCAGTCCAGTAGCAGGATGGGAAAGATGTATGAGCTAAAGACAAAGATCATAGAGATGTCACTGTGAGAACAGAGTCATGCAGCAAGGGTTCAAAGGCCAACTCTGTTGATTGAATGATCTCTGCTTGTTTCTGCACCTGTGAGAGAATGATAACATTACACAATAGGATTGTTATAATGAGAAAATATATGCATCTCAGTCCAAGTCAGAAGGGAAAACAAATCTCTCTAAGCAGACTTCAAGGAAGTCTTGAAGGAATTACTTCAAGGAATTGATGAAGCAGGTGACAAAGATACACTAATGCCTTAGTTCACCAACGCCTCTGCTTGCAAACAATTCAGTTTGCCAACTGAAGTTTTCAGCAAGATTTTGCTTCCATTTGTGAAGTCCACATCAGGTGACAAACACAACCACAGCCATCTTCCCACTCTGACACATGGTCGTGGCTTCCTCTAGTCGAGATCATAGTCACACACAGACCTGTGCACACTTGCTGAGCTTTTTCAAGTGCTTTTTAGCACTTACAGAACCATGCAGTGTCATTCAGTCCAGCACGGCTCCAAAGAAACTGCAGCACAAGCATGGTGATAAAAAAGAATATCCAGAACAATAATGAATTAAGGTCAGCATTCTCTCTCCATACTGTACTGTATTTTGATTCATATTTTTGTGGTTAAAAAATATGGTTCAGAACGGATTAACCTTATTTATATTGAACCTTATGGGGAAATTTCTTTTGGCTCGTGATGAATTCGATTCATTACCAGACTTGTGGAATGAATTAAATTCATGAACTGAGATACCACTATAGTAAGAAAATGATGCAGGAGTCAATAAGAAACCTTAAGAGTTTAACAATACCAGGAAGACTCCCAGCCCCTAAACTGGGGGTAATAAAGTAGAGAGGTGGGTTTTCCAGAACCAGAATCACTGGCAGGAGCCGGAACCACAGATCTAGCCAAATGAGAGTGAGTTGCCAGAGAGACAGCAGAAGCAGAGACTTAAAAATATCCTACATTCTCCCACCTTCCATGAGCACTTCTTATTGACAAAAACCAACCTCAAATCAGGGAACCTGGTGTTAGAGAACACATTTTATGTACCTGTCAGGAATTTCAGGAACACATCTTAGGCATTTTCTCAGCTTCATATGTCTCTCAGGTTGGTAACCACTTACTTCAATCCAGTTGTTCCTGCAATAGTCACCTGCACATAAGCCCAGGTGATCCTTCTACATATCTGGGGTCCAGAACTGATGCCTCCAGCTCTGCACACCTCCTCCAGACTAGTGGGGACTTTTCACTGCCCCGGGACTGTACCTCACTGTAAAGTGTCAATAGCACTTAAGTTTCACCTCAGGCTTTGTTGGCTTAAAACACTGGGAAATGAAGCTGGAAAGGGTTGGTCACCCACGGGGAATAACAGGGCAAGGGAAGAGCTAGGAGTAGATCTCATCACAAAGAACCCAGGCCGCATATTCCATCTCAGCATCCATTCCTACCTTTGTGTTCATATTTAAATCTTATGTAACAACTTCATGTTTCCACCTAATGTGTGCTTTCCCCAACCTCCTTCTAGGTTCACATGTTGGAGGGTTCAATGGATTTTGATCATATCCATCCAATAAACTAAGGGAAAGAGAAGAAAGAAAGAAAACTTTCTATATTCTTAGAAGACATGATTGTGAACATAGAAGAGGAAAATCCTAAAATTCTACCAAAAAAAAAAAAAACTACTGGAAATAAATAAAATTAGCAAAGTGAGAGAACATGAGATAAATTTATAAAAAAGAATTTTATTGCTATAAACTAATATACAATTTGGAAAAAAGTTTAAATACCACTGAAAGTAACACCAAAGAACCCATTAATTTAACAAAATATGTGTCAGATTTATATGCCAAAATGTAGCATATTGCTGAGAGAAATTAAAAAGACCTAACTAAATGGAGAGATAAATCACGATCATGAATTTTAACACTAATAATTCTAATATTATTAAAATATCAGTTCTCCCAACTTAATCTTCAGAGTCAATCCAATCTCAGTTAGAATCCCAACAGCTTTTTTAAAGAAATTTAGAGTAAATGTAATAACTTGGAATAGCCAATATATTTTTGTAAAGAAATGAATTTGGAGAATTAACACACTTCATTCCAACAGATTCTGTAATAGTAATTGAGATATTATGGTGTTACTGCAAGAAGAGATTATTTAGACTATTGAGACCAAATACAGAATCTAGAAATCAACCATACTAACATGGTCAATTAATTTCTACAAAGACAACAAAGTAATTCAGTGTTAAAGTAGAAAAGACTTTTAACAAATACTGCGAAAACAACATATACCCAAATAGAATAATTGTGAACCTCAACTCTTTTCTCACACATAAATATCAACTTGAAATGAATATAATCCAAACATGTAAACTAAAACTATCAGTCTTCACAAGGCAATCATAGGACAAAATCTATGCAATATTGATATAGTAAAGATTCGTAGATGAGACATAAAAACCATGAAAAAATGATAAATTAGGCCTCAGTAAAAGTTTAGAAGTTCTGCTTCTTGAAAGACATCATTAAAAAGTGAAGAGACATGACACAGACTAGGAAAAAAAAGTTTACAGTACATACACTTACCAAAGGGTTTGTATCCAAATTATATAAAGAACTCTCCCAGCTCCATAATTAGAAGACAAAGTAAATTTTTAAAAAGTGAGCAAAAGGTAGATATTTTACAAAAGAAAATATACAAATAACCATAAACATATGAAACGGTGCTCAGTATCACTAGTCTTTAGGCAAATATAGTTAAAAATCTACACAGAGACTTGTGCGCAAATATAAACAACAACTTTATTTATAATAATAATAACCAAAAATTGGAAACCTATGAAATATTCATAGGTAAATGAATTTTTAAAATTGTGGTACATCTATAAGTAGAATACTATTTTGTAACGAAAGGAATGAATTATTGATACACGAAAAGGCACAGATTAATTTCAAAAACATGCTCAGAAAAAAGAAGCCAAATACAAAAGAGTCCATGACGCGTGAAATGGAGCAATGGTCAAAACCAAGTGACCATGAAAGGAAGTGATCACTGCTTGGCTGGCACGTGGGTGGTGAGAGGCTGAAAGGAACTTCTAAGGGTGATGGAAATGTCCTATGTCTCATTTTGATAGTGTATAAGAAGTATGTATATTTGTTAAAACTTATATTTCTCATGACTTCAAGATGGTACATTTTATTATATGCAGAGTAGAATTCAAAAACAGATTATTTTTAACATGTCAAAGTCAAGAAAAACAAGGCCTAAAGAACTGTTCCAGACCAGAGAACACCACAGGACATTACAACTGAATGTGCTGGCATGGAGGAAAGAGACCTGTGAATGACATTATGGGGACAACAGAACACAGATTGCAGATTGGATCAATACTAAATTTCCAGATTCTGATCATTGTAGCAAAATATAAGCAACTGATAACTGTGGATAAAGGGATATATGGGAGTTCCTTGTAATGCTCTTGCAACTATTCAGTAAGTTTCCAATTATATTTTCAGGGCAGAATAAAATTCTTTGAAAGATAAGGTAAGCTTCTAGATGAAAAAAGAAACACAGCTATATTCTGATTGTCTCTGTTTTTCTGTTTTGTTTTGGGGTACTTTGGAACAAAACTAGGGCCTTTGCAATAAGCTATATCACAAGCCCTTATTTTATTTTTTATTTTGAGACAGGAACTCACTAAGTGGTCCAGCATGGCTCAAACTTAGGATCCTCCTGCCTCAGCCTCTCAGAGTGGTGGGATTACAAGCATTTGCCAACACACCTGATTTTCTATTTCTTATTTATGGTATCAGGATGACAAGATATTAAAATGATTTCCCCTTTGGACAAGAAAAAGTTGCAGACTGTTTCTCAGTGTTCTTTAATTGCTCCTGGGGGTGGTTCAGGAATAGAAAGAGAGAATAATTCCTCGAGGTGATTTAAAAAAAAGGATAACTGCTCCCCAAAGGCAAACTCTTCTTTTCTCCAGGAAGAACAATGGCTTCTGATCGCTAAGCCATGTTCCAAAAGAATATTTTCTTCCTTTTCAGGCTCAGCTCTCTCTGTTTCTTTGTCTCTGTTTCCTGGAGTCAAAAGTATTTATTTGTAAGCAATTACAAATTATAGGAAACAAACCAAAATGACAACATTCCATGTTTACCTTTCCTCCTCACTGCACACTGAAGCAGGGAAAGTACCATCCATTCTCTTTTCACAGATACAATTGTAGGTCTTACTGCAGGCAATATTTGATATTCTTGTTGCACTTAAAAATGCACATTTTCCTTCCCAAGAAGATGGAAGCATTGTTCTAACATTACTGTAGAACAGAAAACATGTGGGCCACTGTATAATTCTGAAGCTTACCGTGACACAAGTAATGATTTTTTTAAAAAATTCTATCACTTAAATACAGAGTAGGGAAATACTAACCATAAATTCATCACTAAAGGTTTTCTTTTGCTTTTAGATCATTAATAGAATGATGTATCTTGCTCACACTTACAATTCCCATTTTATTACAAACTGGCAATTTTTGGTCAATAGACAAAAATAATTTGCAATATTGTCATGCGATTATGATACACCAAACCTGCTTAGCTGGTTTACTTCTAAAAATAAGATATTAAAAAAAGAAACAAATTTTTGTCACACAGATAACCAGGTCTTATATGCCTGGTTAAGAAGAAAAGGAGAATTAGAATATAACCTAACATGAAGTTTCCTGACTGATATTTTTATTTGTTTTGTTTCTATGTCTCCACCCTCATAGGTATAGTTACATATTTGTTAAAAGATGTGAATCCATGAATACCCTGCTCAAACAAAGATTTCAGCCAAATGGTGTATCAAGTGTCAGAACTCTTTTCCCATTGGAGACAACTGAAAATGTTCAGTAAAAAATTAAAATCTTCTTGAATCAATAATTCATAAACTGGTGAGAAGGACATTGCTACTCAGGCTGCAGCTTAAATAATGGTGGGAAACTTCAGGGCAAGTGAAACACTGATGCCAGTTTCCCCTGGATGGAAATCGCAGGCTGAATAATGAGGCCACTCACAGTGCAGATTCTAAATAATGAAGCCACACAAACTGCATAGGGCTGAGACCTGAAAGGGATACATCTTCAGCATGAATCACACGGGAACTGTCTCGGACTCTGGGTTTAAGCAGAAGAGAAGAAGCAGCCTCCCATCTAAGAATTCAAAATCAAAGCATCTGGGCCAGGGATGTAGCTCAGTGGTTCCGACCCCTGGCTTGCAAGTGCAAGGTCCCAAGTTTCAATCCCTGGTACCAAAACAAAAAAACAAAAAAACCCCACAAAATCAAAGCATCTTTCATGTAATTTGCTATTGGAAAAAAGAAAGGAATAAAGAAGATAAAGTGAAACCACATAGCTTGTGAGGCAAAGGCAGAACACATGAGACGTGTTAGGAATGGGCAGGTAGGCCGGGGATTTAGCTCAGTGGTTCTGCCGCCTGCTTCACAAGCACAAGGACCCGAGTTCGATCCCCAGTACCAAAAAAAAAAAGAGAGAGATAGGCTTCCTTATCGCTTCTCGGCCTTCTGGCTAAGATCAAGTGTAGGAATGGGCAGGTAAACTGTCACCTACAAAACTTGTTATGTATAGATTCAGTAATAAAGCGAATGTGTGATAAACGGACTAAGAAGTGACCGAGTAGATGCTAACTATACACAGAAACACACGAAGCAAAGAGTCAACATCTTGAGGTCTCCGGTGCACCACCAATCGGTGACACCTATTCTGGCTTCTGCCCAAGAAGCAAAAAGCAAACCCATAGCTGCTCGTTGGTTAAATGAAAACTGTAGTTGTGGCCAGGCTCGCAAGCTCTGTTCCTCTCCAGTAGAGAACATGTGTGCCTGACCACAGGAACACTGACCACTGGGCCTTCTCCCTGAGACCTCACATCTGACCCCACAAACCACAGCACCCCCGAAGTGCAGCACAGCCGGGCGTGTAAAGATTTCTTAACCCAGCATGCGAGGGATCCTCTACCCTGGCACCTTCTGGGGTGCCAAGGTGACAGCCTATCCTCTCTTTTCTCTGTGTTGTGCTTTGGGATCTAAATGGATTTAATTAATGGTGTGCTTTGAGCACCCTAATTTGGCCTGTGAGCCCTTCTGTTCTCTGACCTCTGTGATGCTTTGCCCTGGAGCAGAAAGGCAGGATACAATTACATAAAGAGAGAATCTCTGCAGGATGCCTTTACAAGTTTGCAGCTCAGAAATTCAAACTTAAAAGACTCGAATTTAGAATTAAAAATGAACCTGATGAAGCAGTGGGGTGGTAGTGCACACCTGTAATCCCAGCATGCGGGAGGCTGAGGCAGGAACCCTGCTGAGTTCAAGGACAGCCTGAGCTACAGAGTGAGACCTCATCTCAAAAAATAAAATAAAATGACCCTGATGAATAGTGCCCCAAGACATCCAACAAAAACAAGGTTTTACTTGAAGAAGCCACCCCCTTAATCTCAGGCCTCAGATAGTTTCCACAACAGCTCAAAAGGAAAAAGAAAATTGTTGTGCACCACAAAACCCCACATACTAGAATCATCAGATACCAAGTATAAAGTAAGTGTTTATTATCTATCAAGAAATAAAGAACAGTTTAAAATATGAGTAACTCATAAGATTGTTTGAAAACACACAACAGAACTCCTAGGAATACACATATAATAGTTAACACTTTTAAAAATTAATCAACAGTTTTATGGCAGATTAGAATTAAATGTAAACCTAAGGGTTTACATAATACCACAATTCAAAGTGGAAGGCGTAGATATGCATGTATATGTTTTTATGTGTATATGTACACATTCTTATACTTTATGTATTATAAATAACGTTTAAACAAATATATATTAGTTATATAAACCATACTATAAATCAAGGTGGCAAATCATTTCCCATCACCTTAAAATTTATTTTTTTGCTTTATTCTGTGCACCTTTAACACAGACTTGTGAACATTATGCTTTAATTATGATTAATAAGTCTATGACATTTCTCTTCCTTTTTAAACGATGCTTCCTCAAGCTCCTGGAACTCATCCTTCCTGTTCTAATGACTTCCATTTGAAGACGGATCCGTTTGAAGACTGATTTGCTGTAAGAAGCATGAAAAGATGCCCTACAAAGGCGATCCTCCCCGCACCCTCACTGACTTCAGAGCCCAATGCCCTCCAGAAACTCACATTCCAGGAGATGCGCCGCTCTCGGTCCATTTCCACCTATTTTCCCCTGTATCAAATGACAGCCCGATCCAGTAATAACACTGACCAAGCTGGAGTCGAAGGAAGTCCTGTAAAAGAAACCAAATACATCATGAAACAAAACTCTGATCTGTGAGGTGACAACACCCAGAGGAGCCTCTGCTCCCATGGCCAGGGTGCTGCTGCTGTCCTCACCCTGCTCCCTCCACCCGTCTTTCCATTTTCCAAAGGTATTTTCCACTAGTACATTATTTATTCATGTTACAAATGGATATCAGTTTGATAAATATTTAAAAATAGAGAAAAATGAAAAACCTAAGTATTGTGCAATTGGAGATTTGTTAAATAATTTTGGACACTTTATGACACTATTCAAATTCATGCTCCAGAAGATTACTGAAGTATATGGAAGAACAATCATCACATAACCTTAGGTGAAAGAAATAATCTTCAAAAATTTAATTTAAATAAAAGGTATTTATGAAGAGGATGTGCATGAAAGCTTCAGTTTCCTAAGAGAAAGCCTTTCTGCAGTCTAGTAATTGGAGAGGGTAAAGGAGAGGGGAGATAGTTGGAAGCATTTTCTGCCTTTAAAACATGATATATCATGGTGACAGCACAAGATGTCTGATTAAATGACTGAATATATTTTAAAATGTAGGTTTGAACTTATATTTTACTGTATAAAGCAGAAAATTATGGAATGACTTGATATTATGAATTCATTTAAGTTTTGATTTTAAACATTTCTTAAATTTGCATATAAATTTGTGGTTTTCCTAAATATAGGTTTCTGACAAATCTTTCATTTCTCTGTTAAAAACACATGTTGTATATGTGGATAACTTTCCTAGGTAATCAATTAGAAAGACAATTTCAATATCACTGCCAGTATGTTTTCTATTTTATAATTATCTTTAAAGATATACATCTTTATATATCAGAATATTGATCAAGTAAATGTTATCTATATGGTCGAGGTGGTGAAAATCACATGGGGCCAATTGGCTAATACATTTATAGTCATCATCATCTCCATTTTTTCACATAGACCAGACAGACTAACTAATTTACCTAAGGTCGTCCAACCAGTATGTGGTAAACATGGACGTTCTCCCCAGGCAGTCTGGTGTCTGGGTTCCTAATGGTAACTCCTAGATTATGCTGCCCCTGGTTTTTGGTTGCCACTCTATGGGACAAATAACTGTCAGATCCAGTTCACCAAAGGACTCAGTTTCATGCAGGGAAAGAGCACTGCTCTGGGAGGCTCCACTGCAGACACCTTGGAAAGGGAGATGAAGGCAGAGACCCACACTGCTTCCTGCACAGTAGTGGCCACCATAGTAGGTCACACGTTTGAGCACTTAGTAAGTAGCAGGACCAAGGCTTCTCAGCAGGCAGGCGTCTCCTGGGAGGCTCCTAACTTACAATTTTGGCCCACGTAACTGACACAACACAAAGCGTAGCTGAAGGTCCCCGTTGTCTTAGGCCCAAGAATGAGAGGAAAAGTCTAGGAGGATAAAAGTGAATGTAAGAGTTTGTATTACCAGTTCATCTCTATCATCTATCTTCACAGGGGACAATCCGTAATCTTGACAAGTCAGTTTACAGCCGTTCCAGTCTTTACTCTCCTTGATAAAATAATAACATTTTACTCCACAACAGGTCAAGTCATCTTCACAAATTTTACCTACAACATGTAAGAATCATTAAGCCTCTTGTTATCTAATATTTTGCAAATCAGAGCAATATATTTATCAGCTTTCTATAACTAAATAAAAATGTCATAGGTCTCAGTAATGAAAATACAGAGTTCACCAAGATTCTAGAGTGCCCAGAGATATCTGCACTCCCATGTTCAATGTAGCAGTATTCACAATAGACAGTATGGAAACAACCTAAATATCTATTGATAGATGAAAGGATAAGTAAAATTGATTTACATATGACGAATATTTTTTAGCCTCTAAAAAGAAGTAAATCCTGCTGTGTGACAACATGAATGAACCTTGAGGATGTTGTACTCCATGAAATAAGCCAGCCATAGAAAGAAAAACCTTCTTTATGCTCCCACTTAAATGAAGTATCTAAAATAGTAAAGCTCATAGAAGCAGAGATTAAGATGTTGGTTGCCTCAGGTAGGTGAGAGGGGAAATAAGGAAATGTTGTTCAATGTACAAATTCTCAGTAGTGAAGGTGAGTTAATTCTAGGGATCTGCTGTGGAAAATAGTGCCTACAGTTTACCATACTGTATTGTGTACTTAAAAATTTAAGAGTATTCATGCAGGTTAAATGTTCCTACTGGAAAAGAAATTAGACACATGAAGGTGACAGATATGTTTAATACATATACATATATATATTACAAATAGATTAAACATCTCAACCTAAAGCAAAATGAAAACACAGACACACAAACACACAGGAATAGAAAGATCTAAATTTTCAGGGGAGGTGGCAAATGATTTCACCTTCTGGAATCAGGAAGAATGCAAGAACTGCCATTGAGTTTAGGGAACTATAAGGTTTTCCCACTCCCAACATGGCTTTGAAGGCCCTAATCCCACACTTGAAATAAGCAAACTCAGATACCCAGATCATTTCTATGAGGTAGAAATTAAAAGTTTTTCAGGGCCAGGGATTTAGCTCAGTGGCGTTGTGCTTGCCTTGCAAGCGCAAGGTCCTGAGTTCGATTCCCAGTACCCCCCCCAAAAAAAAGTTTTCCACTAGACCTATAGATTACTAGTAGTCTATTAGACTTTAAACTTCTGACCTAGAAGAAATAATGCAGCCTTTTACTAAGGATTTTCCACCATACCTTTATTCTGCAAAGGTTTTGAAACGGTCTTATTTTTCCTATGACATTTTTTCTTGGAAGACAATTCTAGTTCTGTGTTTTTCTGATGCATTTCATTTTTAAGAATGTCATATTCTAAAGTCTTATTTGTCAAACGTTCCTTTAAAGAACTGTCATTTTGCGCTTGCCAGAGGTTTTCTCGAATTTTCTCCTTTTCATTTTTTTCCTGAAAAACTAAAATTAATAGCATAGATGTGATATGAAAAATACTCATAATGACTAAATATTAAATTTAAGACAAAGGAAAAAGTCTCACTTTGACAACCAACTCACACTGTCACCTTAATTAGCAGCTTGACATTTAGAAAGTAACACCTTGGTGAACTGACCAAAGGGATGGAAACATCAAATTTCTCACCGCTAGCAACTTATACGTAAAATAAATAAAATAAAATCTCTGAGTAAAAGTAGGATGCTAATTCCTTACCTCTTAGTTCACTTTTAACAACATGTCATTTACAAAAAGAACCAAGTAAAAATCAGTCAACAGTTAACAACACATCTTCTGAGGATGAAAATTTGGACTAGGGATCATGCAGAGATGGCGTCATCATGACTACAGCAGATGGAATATCCACAGGAGAAAGTAAGAATAGCCAGATATCTAATTTGATCAGAGGGTAACATATCAGTGATTTTCTCTAAAAATGTGAGAGAATTAAAAGGCAAAAGATTTATGCGATCTGAAGAGAAACCAGAGTAGATTGTGAGGGAATTTAAATAAAAGAGAAAGCTTAAATACAAAATCATTTTACATTCATGTACAGATTCATTCTAAACTATTCCTCATTATATACTTAGGAGAAAATCAAGAGAAAGTCACCATTTCTTTGGAACAGCTGTTTCTCCCTGAATGCTCATCTCAGATTCACAATGACCTGAACTCAGCAGAATATCACTAAGTTCTCTATGAAGGAACAGGCCTGGAAAAGACAGAACAAGATAGCTCACCCAGCCTCACAGTCAGTAGAATAGATAAATAAAATCAATCATGACACTGTGCTATGTCCTGAAGGAAAAAATTAACAAAGCCCAGAGGCACCTGGAACATTCCCAGATGACAGACAGGAAATAACAGATGAAGCATGGCTCATATCTGGACAATTCATGTCTAATGCTGTTGCTCGGGAGGGAAAGATGTATTTCAGTACTCACTCTCCATCACCAGCACCACAACTGTCATCAACAGAAGTAAGCAAATGATCCCAAGGGTTGCTGCAATGAGATGCCAGGGCACTGCAAATCCTTTAGATAAAAATGAAGGAAAATAATCACCAGGGAAAGAGCCTGGCCTACCACTAACCTTAACAAAGGACACCATTGAATCAAGGGGACAATATTTTATAAAACGTCATACAAATTGATTTAAATTTGTGATCCAGGAATTATAGTTTTAAAGTTTGAGATTTCTGGATGGCACACAACCATTGTCAAAATCCTACATATGGGACCATGTCTGTATGATTTCAAAAGCAAGCACCAAAGGCAATAGACACAAATTAGAGTATCCAAAATGGCATGTGTGTGCCTCCATGTGATCACAAAACCAGTTGTGAAGAGAAAGGAAAAAATCAGTCAATATTCTTTTTTTTTCTTATCCCATCCACCCCCTCAAAGTCAATATTCTTGAGAAACTGGTAGCCAACCATGGATATTGTGAAGTTGGAAATGTGATAGGGTTCCATCCTTAAAGAAGTTTCTGGAAATCTACTCTTTTGTCATAAGTCCTACTTTTCTCTAGACAATACACTACTTATCTTTGTGCTTCTGAGGTCCTTGGCATCTGAAATTTGTATCTCTACCTATCCCTAAATCAAAGAAATAGAAGTTTTTAATTTAGAATTTAATTTTGGCAGTATTTAATGGAAGAGTAGAAATAAAGAGAGAATTTAAAAAATTAGAATTTCTCTTCTGATTTAAACTTTTTTTTGTTGTTTCATTGCTATTAAGGTTTAGCACATTTTTAAGACATCTAAAATATTTTATCTGAATAAAAACACTGTTAAACATATTTTTCATTTTTCTAAGACTTTTATTTCTCTAGCAAATGCAGTGCTTCTTCAGATTTTATTTTTAAAGGACTCAATTTCTTCTTGACCATATTTGAATAAAAACAACCTACTATCTTCTCAAATTTAAAAGAATGTATTCATCCCTCTGTTCTCAGAGAAGGCTCCTATTCTGCTACTCTCCCTCATTCTGGTTTTGTGCTACCAGCTGACAATGCGAAGGGGAAGATAAGAGCTTTCCTTCAAATGTCAAAAGCTTGGCAAGTCATAAGAAATAGGTCAATGCAGATGCTTCAAACATATACCTTTGCCATCATCTTCCCTAGGCCCTTTAGTTGCATTGGGTCTTAGTTTGTTCTGTGCCTCTGAAGGAGACTGAAGAAATCTCAGGGTTGTGTAAGTCACCTCCTCAGCGCTCATCTTCAGAATAAGAAAAGAAGTATGCTTTGTGCTAAAACTCTGCCAGGAGATGATTCCTGTCTAGAAACACAATTAAATTAAAATGTCAGCCTATAGGAACATAGTAGGATTTGATATGAAGTATGTACATGTGTCTGTGGTTGCATGTTTATTAACGCCTATAAGTGTCTAAAGCATCTAAACTGAGCCTGATTTATGTGAGAAATTAAAAACCTTTCAACAGTGCTGTTCAGGTCATTTCTACTTCTAGTGATCATTGCCATGGTTATTAGAAAATATGAAAAGAACAAAAAATTCTGCCAATAGATTACTGTCCTATTGACCCAACCAATTTTGCTCAAAATGTTCAACATAGGTTTAAAACTGTTAGGCAAAATTGATACCAACTCAAATCACTAAACACTAGCAATTCAAATAATAAGAATTCAAAGCATTCTGAAAAAAAGTAAATATCCTTGGTCTTTAGAAACACACACATTTCGATATACATGAAATATAAAAATGTTCTTACATTCTTAACAGCTACGCATGACCCCACCAGTGTTTCCCAAAGTGCACTCCCAACACTCTGCGAAAGAATCATTTGAGGGTTAATACTTCAGATTCCAACGCTTTGTATAAAACTGCTAAATAAAAATCTCCAGGATTGGAGCCTAAACACCTGTATTTCTAATCCCCAACGATTCCCTGTACATGAAAATTTTATAATGTTCTAATATATGTTGTTGCCAGAGGAATCTATGTGAAAATACAAACTGTCAACAGGCATTCATCAGTTACTATCCATAAAAGATACAGTCTAGTGACAGTTATCAATACAAAAATAAGTATTGAATAGTAAATATTTAAATTTTACTTTGTAAAACTGTTTTACTTTGTTTTTGACACTAATCAGTATGAAAAGATGATATCCAAGAAACAGGAACTGCAAAAAACAAACCACATGTAACTATATTGTTTTCTAATTCTTTTAATTTAAAAATTTTCTTACACTTAATTATTCACATTTTCCCTAATTTCTTAAGAAAAAGAAGTCTTGGGCCAGGGATTTAGCTCAGTGGTTCCGCCACCTGACTCACAAGTGCAAGGACCCGAGTTTGATCCCCGGTACCAAAAAAAAGAGAAAAAAAAAAAAAGAAAAAGAAGTCTTTTATTTTATAGAATCCTTCAAGATAGATAACATGTAAATCATTAGACCCAAGTAAAAGATAATTTCCTCTTCCAAATTCCTGTACATTTTGACCACACAAAAAGATCGTAACTTAAGAGAAAAAATAATTTTCCATGAATGTGAACTATAATTTTTACATCCTTCATAATTAATGTAGTTCTAATGCAACCAGTAAAGAATGCTCTCCTATCAACCCCATTCTCATGCCAAGCCATTTGTAATGAAATACTGTATTTCCAGAATAAGCAGGATAATGCACTACAAAGATCTATGGGAATAAAAACAGATCTTACCTGTATCTGAGCTATATAGTGCTGCCAGTGAAAGAAACTGACCCCAAAATGAGAACTGTATTGGTCTTTGCTGTCCAGATCTCATAGAGGCTGTAAGACAAAAGGCAGCAATGAATTACCATTGAATGGTGCGCCAGCTCAAATGTTCACCCCTCCTCTTGATCAAAGTGAAAAGAGGAAGCTGTATGATTAAAGCTGATGCTGACGGGAAAGGAAAGATGGTCATGGGCTATATATTCCTCTGTCTGAGCTAAGAAGCCACTTTGTTCTCTGCAAAATTAACTCTCAAGAGGCTAAGTGACTTCCCTAAGTGTTATTTCTTCAGCCAAGTTTAAAATAAGGTCTGACTGCTGGGGATGTCGTTCAGTGTTAGGACACTTGCCTGGAATGAACATACAAGGCCCTGAGTTGGATTCTCCATACTTTAAAAAAAAGAAATAAAAAATGAAGTAAGTTGTTGAATACATAGTCTTGGATTCAGAAGGGATTTGGTTTTCAATAAAGCTCTTACCACAGAGTGTAGATTCTGGAAGCAGGGAGATGTGGTTGAAATACCAGCTGTAACTCCCTTGGGTGGCTTCCTGCACGTCTCCTAATTCTCTAAGCCCCAGATTCACCACAGCAAATCATCGTACCATTGGGCTCCCAAAGCCGCTGTGGGGATTTACTAAGTAATGTGCTTAACTGTAACCTGGCATATATAGTAACCCCTCATTGAGTGTAAAATATCTTTATTTGAAGTCCAAGATTCAAATCCTTCCTAGCTATAAAAATTTGAACAAATCCTTCTGAATCTTCAAGCCTCAGTTTCTTCACATGTTCAATAAGAGTATCACCCATTTCATTGGCTTGGGGAAATTGAATGCAACTAGCACTACAATAGGATTACAGGTAAGATTTCTTACACTTTAAATTTTTTTATTTTGCTTTTGTTTTATTTTCTTTCCTAAATTTCTAAAAAGTAGAAGGAGTAGGACTGAAATCCAGAAATCCTGACACAACTGCTATGGCTTGAATATGGTTTGTCCCATCAAAATTTGTGTTGAGACTTGAACCCCAAACGAGCCATATTGGGCTGTGAGCATATTGGGCTGAGGTGTTTGAGTCACGGGCACAAGGCCCCATGAAGGAATTAACGGTTTTCTCCTGAGGGGATTCATCACCTCACAGGACAGTCCACTGTTACATTCTGTTGCTTCCATACACTCCTAGTTGTCCTTCCACTTTGTGCCCTGAGTTAAAGCAACATGAAGTTCTCATCAGATGACTGCGTGATCTTGAACTTTCCCACTTCCAGAATCATGAGCTACAAATAAACCTCCTATAAATAATCAGTCTCAGGAGTTCTATTATAGCAACAAAAATTGAACTAAGGTACACTGAGCTAGGTTCTCTATTCCACTGTGTCAAACTTGGAGTGCGGGTGTTGAGGAGGTAGGGATGATATATTAACATCATTTAGGAGCTGCAAAACATGGCGGCAGCCCATCACTGCTCTAGAAAAAAAATTCTGTGGCCTCGAATCTGGGGATTTTTCTTTTTCTTGACCTGAGTTGATAATGGTAATGTTGAGGTTTTTTCTGTTTTGGTTTACAATTGTAGAGCTGGTGAGAGGATGGGTTACCCTCAGGATGGAGGCTAAGCAAGTGCAGAGCACTCTTTTTGTAAAATTAAGTTTATTGGTACATTTTAGGTATACAATATGATGACATTCATTATTGGGAATTTGTACCTGTACATGATGCATCTTGGTTATTTTTTCCCCATTCCCCTGCCCTCCCTTCAACCCTTCCCCCCCCCCATTTACAAAGACTTTGTTTCCATTTTTTTCTTCTCACATTTTTTCCTTTCCCTTCTTTCCTTCCCCCTACTCCTCCCACTTCCTCCTCCCCTTTAGACCTTTTCTTCCAGTTTCACATTATCTGTTATACCTTTTGATTCTTATTTACACTTTCAGTTTCTTACACCAGAGAAACTATTTGGTATTTACACATATGTACCCTATTTATATCACTTCAGAGTGTGGCCTCAATGTGCATCTATTGAGCTATAAATAACCCTAGTTTCTCATTTTTTTATGGCTGAGTAGTACTCCATTTTACTTTTTTAAAAAACCACATCTTCTTTATCCAGTCTCCAGTTGATGGGCACTTGGGCTGTTTCCAAATTTTAGCTATTACAAACCGTGCCACTATAAACATGGGTGTGCATATATCACTGTGGTATGATTCTTTTAATTCTTTGGGGAAAATACCCAGCAGGGGAATAGCTGGGTCAAATGGGACCTCTAATCCTAGTTTGTTGAGGTATCTCCATAATGATCGCCACAGTGGTTGCACCAGTCTGCACTCCCAACAATGGAGAAGGGTTTCTTTCTCTCCACAACCCCATCAGCATTTGTTATTGATTTCTTGATAGCAGCCATTCTTTCTGGAGTGAGATGGAATCTCAGTGTTGTTTTCATCTGCATCTCTCAAATGACCAGTGATGTTAAACATTTTCTCATATATTTATTTGCTGCTTTTACTTCTTTGTCTGAGAAATGTCTCTTCATTTCAGATGCCCATTTTTGAATTGGGTCTTTAAATTTGGAGGGTCTGATTTTTTTTTCTTTATATATTCTAGATAGTAGTCTTTTGTCTGAGGAAGTTAGTAAAATTTTTTTCCCACATTGTAGGTTGTCTCTTAGCTCTGTTGGTGGTTTCTCTTGCACTGCAGAAGCATTTTAGTAAGATGAGATCCCAGTTGATTCTTTGTGCTAGTTCCCATGCTACTGAGGTTTTGTTCATAGTCTTTTCCTATGCCAATGTCTTCAAGAGTTCTACCTATCTCCCAGCAAGTTTAGTGTTTGTTTTAATATTTAGATCTTTGATCCACTTTGATTTTAGTTTAGTGCATGGTAATAGATATGGGTCTAGTTTTAATCTGTGGCAGATTGAAATCCAGTTTTTCCAGCAGCATTTATTAAAGAGGCTATCTTTCCTCCAGTGAGGGTGGTTGGCTCCTTTGTCAAAGATGATATGGCTGAGTATGTCTGGAGTTGGGTCTGCATCTTCTAATCTATTCCACTGATCCTTGGGTCTGTCTTTGCCAGTACCATATTGTTTTTATCACAGTGGCATTGTAGTATAGTTTCAAGTTGGGGATGTGATACCCCGTCATGTCTTTGTTGCCTAGAATTGCTTTTGCTATTCTAGGTCTCTTCTGGTTCCAAATGAATTTTTCGATTTTTTTTCTCTAGTTCTGTGAAATATACTGTTGGGATTTCAATCAAGATTGCACTGACTCTATATAGCAGCTTTGGAAGTATGGCTATTTTTACTATATTGGTTCTTCCTACCCAGGAGCAAGGGATGTCTTTCCATTTTCTGATAGCATCTTCAATCTCTTTTTTCACAGTGCTGTAGTTTTCAAGGTAGACATCTTTTACTTCATTTGACTGATTCCTAGATATTTCATTTTTTTGGAGAGCACACCTTTTTTAAAACATGTTTTACATGTTTATCACCTCTCACATAATATATAGTCCAGAAGGGTGAGTACATCTGTTTTGTTCATTATTGTAAAAGCATCATACCTAAAAGGTATATGATGCCTACCAGTACCTTGATGAGCAAAAAGGTCAAAGAGAAATTGATTACAAAATCTAGAGTTTTCATAGTTTTAGAAAGAGACAGAATGATATTAATTATCAAATTGTGTAGCTGATACCCTCAATTCTATTTTTATTACTAATCTCTGCATTTTGGGAAAAGGCAAACTTCTTCTTTTAAGTGATATGACAATATTAGAAGGCAAGTAACTTCAAATGGGATTGATTGAAGCTCCTAATTTGACTCTTTGATTAAAGCAGCACAACATGGAAAGTACTAAAGTTTATCACAACAAATTAATAAAACAGAAAGATGAGAAATCTGAAGTTTTCAATGTCCTTAAATGTTCAATGTACACACACATGAACGTGAATATATAAAGCTTTCATTTATTTTCTGCAGCCTTAAGAAGCTACATATTTTACCCATTCCTTTCGAATGATATGGTTACCTAGAGACTGCACACAACTGCTGGTCACACCCTCAAACCTTCTGGTCACACTTCAAACTTCAGTGGCTTTATCATTTCAAAGCAGCACGCTGTCATCCTGTCCCAGGCTGAAGGGAGATACCTGGAATAACCATTAGTTGGAGGAGATTTCTTGGGCAAATCACTTCAGCAGGAGGAGGAATCACTCCTGGCCAGGTTCCCACTTCCTTATTTTTCCTAATAGTTTACTTTTACACCACTGACACTAAATTGCAGGCTCTAAGAGTGAAAAACAAAAACATCTCTACTTTCACATTTCCTGTTCCTCTAATCACCCCGTTTGTCATTCTTTTTACAATAAAAGACATTCTAATGTTCTGGATTTAAGATACTCTTGTCCCAAGTGAGTCTCCAACAGTAAAACTAACCAAATAAGGACACCTCAGAACTAAATAAAAATAATAAAGAATAGCAAAAAAAAAAAAAAAAGAATTCACATGACTGTTTGGATTTTGTGCCACTAAGAAATAGTGTATTCACAGGTTGAAAGAAAAAATAGTTAAGGATTCATCCATAATTAAGATTTCTGATTCTTAAATCAATGTTCTCCCTGCCATGTTACCCAGTTCTAAGAAATGGGGCTATGGATATTTACTTTGAGCAGTTCTTATTTGCAGGGTCTGCTCAAGCAGGTTCTGAGCTCATCATCAGTCAAATCATTTCTTTACCTTTGGTGTTTATTTTAGCTGGGGGCGGGGGGGGGTCTAGTTTATTAGTTACAGTATGATGGTTTTTCAACAGATGGTGTTACCCTCATATGAGAGACCCAGAAGATGCCATATATCACAGAAAACCCACTACACTGCCAGCCCTTAGAGAAGAAACTGAAAACACATGTGCAGCAATCTCAATAGCCAAGGTTACCCAAGCAGCCGCTTGCCGTACTAATAAATCTCTGGACACTAATGGCCACCACTTTGAGCACCTCTGGTAATTGCAGAGGCCAAAGGAAACTTGTGTTAATCTCATGATATCTCAATAAGGTTAGTATTAAAATACTTATACCAGTTTTCCTCTTCCTGGCGTCTGTAGTTTTTTGACAGACTCTATCATAAGCAGAGATCAGTAGAGTTTAGTTGATCATAGCGGTTCTCACCAGTCATCCTTGCTGTGTTGTAAATGCAGCTTTGGTCAAGCAAAGTTATAGTGTCAGGCTGTGTGTGAAAAAACAGAATCACAGTTGCACCACATCCAAAAGACATCCTCCTCTATGTCTGACTTCACAGTTCTCTGGTGTATGCACATATCCAAAGATGTGTGGTAAATACAGATTTCCATAGCAACAAAATTACCACATCAGACTAAAGTACGTGTTTAATAATAATCTGGAAGCAACAAAGACAAAGCAAAGCAACCAACAAAACTTCTACAAATCACCTACTGCACGGAAACGACTGCTAGCAGGGAACCTTTACGCATGCCTGTAATCCCAGTACTCTGGAAAGTTGAGGCAGGAAGACCACAAGTTCGAGCCCAGCCAAAGCAATTTAGCAATTTAGCCAGGCCCTGCCTCAAAATTTTTAAATGTTACAATTAAAAAAGGGCAAGAGAGACTTCTAGGTGTTGCATATGTGACTTACCGTCCCACAATAAAAGGCGGAATGCAATGCAGACACACTTGGTTCGGCTGATCTGAGTGTAACAAAAAACTAGTTTCACCTCAAACTAGTGCCATATGGAGTTCAGATTCCAGTGATCATTGCCTATCAGTCAAGAGACAGCTCAAGTAAGGTATAAAGCCAAACATAAAAATACAAAAAATTTATCCTAAGGACCCAGTCTCCAATCTTGATCTAAATATATAAAGCTGGGCATAATCCCAGCACTTGGCAGGCTGAGGCAGGAGGATCACTATAAGTTCAAGACCAGACTGGGCCAGTCAAACCCTGTCTAAAAAAATAAAAATGTAATTACAAATTAGATAAATGTAAGAAATCTTAGTATAGTGGGGAAGAATAAAAGAAGTAAATCAATATTAGAAGAAAGAGAATGGAGCAGACTTAGTAAGTTAAGTTTTTAAATCTAAGGGCTATTTCTTCCCAACAGGAAGCCAAAGAATGACAGTACTAAGGAATACAGTAACCGGCCACATGAGAGGTTCAAAAGCAGTTGCTCCTGTCTCCTAGGTGACGTGTAAGTGAAAGAGCATTATGAAGCGTATCATACTGTACATTCGTCAGGGCCTACAACATGAACAAAATCACTCACAGTCATACAAGAAATCTGAAGGGAATGAGGGTTGTCCTGCTCAATGAGGGAGAGCAGCTGACTACACAGCCAACATTTTCAGAGCAGGGCCGAGAACCAGCTGTGCTCAAAAAGGCTGCCCAGCCAGGCTTTAGAGCGGTTTGTCCAATCCACAGCCCTGCACAACTGGCAAGGTGCCCCATAGGACCCTAAGCTTTTAACACTTTGATGTGGTTTTCAGAACGGTCTTTCATGGCTGAATTGCAAGGTGCCCAAGCAGACTGCACGGGTGACTACGGGTTGCTATGGTCAGGGCTCAGGGCAGCACTAACCCCACTTCCTGTGCCCAACATGTTCATTCCAACTGAAACCTGCATGTCTCACTCACTCACTTGACCTGCCCAATAAACTGCTGTGATTGAGATATTTCAACCTACTATGACGAGCAAAATTTAAGTCTCTGATGAGTGCCTTAAAAACTAAAAATTGCAACTTTCATTGAACTGATACTAAAGCATTAGATTCACAGAAGCAAGGTTAAAATCCCACTTGTTGTTTATATTCTTTTTAAATGTTGTAATAAAAAAAGTCTTAAAGTTTTATTACTTATATACATTAACTATTCTATGTATTTTTGTGTCTGAAGACAATTCCTCTTTATTCAGTGTGGCAGGAGGTTGGACACCCATATTCTAGAGCAACAGTCCCCAAAAGGTACAGTCACCAGACATGTGTGGCTCCCTAAATTTCATCAAAATTAAATAGCAGAACCAAAAGAAAAAAAGCTTAATGGCACCAATTAGGTGAAAAAATCAACAAATAACACTCTAACAGGCTTATTAGTGGCATGTGGATATTCTCTTTACAATTATTTCAACCATTTTGTGTCTTTGAAATTTTTCATAATAAAACATTAAAAAAACTTTTAATTAACACTATAAATTCAGGTGAAATAGGTACATCTCAAGTAATCAATAGCCACAGGTGGGCTGTGGCTATAGAGAACATTCCATTTTTGCAAAGAAAGTGTATTGGACACAGCCATTCTGTTCTCGCAGCTTAGGAGTCCTGGCTAGCCTTCAGAAGGCCAGGCGTGGTGGTGCACACCTGTAATCCCAGCATTTGGGAGGCTGAAGCAGGAGGATCACTCTGAGTTCAAAGCCAGCCTGAAATATACAACAAGACCCTGTCTCAAAAATAAATAATACATTTTATACTTGTTGTTCACACACACACACACAAGGAATAAAGGTACGATCAAAGATAAACCTGCAGTACTGCCTATACTCTTAAAACTTTAGACAATTATTGCTTACACCAAAACAATTTAAATGTCAATTGTCTTGGAAGGGTTTATGAGTAATGTAAAAAAAATCCAGAAACTACTGTAAACAACTTCAGTAAACACCCATAAAAGTAAATCCTATCAGGTATGGGAGAAATAAGGGAAGACCAGCAAATGCCTTTAATGGATAGAAATGTGGCTACATATTTCTACCTGCAAGAATTCTTACCATTGGATATACCTACTACAACAATTTCTTTTTACATTTAAAGTGAAGAATAGATATAGCTTCCTGAAAAGAAAAAACCAAAGATAAATCTGTCCATTCAGGCTTGGTATGTTTTATTAGAGCAAAATTTCAACAAAAAGTGACTTTTATTTACAGAATTTAATGTATATGTGGACAGTCTTAGCCACTTAGACCCAAGGGAGGAAAATCATTAAGCCTGTTTATATATTTTCACATGTTCAGTTTACATACAAAAAGTTTGTTTTCACATTCATAAAAATCCAAATATTATAAATGACAAACCCTTTCTCCCCCACCCCTCAAATATACAAAGAACTTCACAAATATACAATTTAAATTGGTTTAATCTTGAAGTGTAATCCAATGAGACTGAAAACTAAACATTTCAAGTCTTGTACCAAATAGTAAAATACTCGAAGGCCTTCAGGATCCCTAAAATTTAAAAAGGTAAAAGTTAATTTTTTGGTCCTAATGAAACATAATTTTACAAATTCCTACAACAAAATTGAAACTCTGTAACAATTAAGTTCATGGAACTTAGAAGAAAGGAAGAATTTTGTTACCAAAATGAACCGAATGATTTAACACCTCTATCTGTTCTGTAAGGAAAAAGGTTTTTCATCGGTATTTATTTTCATATTTAAAGTGTTTATCTCCTTATAGAAAGTAAGCTATGCATCACAAAAATGTAAATAAAAAAATAAACTACTCACAATAATTCTGTAATTCTACCACCCTAAATACTGACAATATTGTGGTGTTTCTTTTTTTCCTGCCTAACTAAAATCATTCTGTGCTGTTATTTTTATCACAGCATTAAAAAAACCCACTTCACAGATAATTTTAACCAGTCTACCCTTGTTAAATATATGGATTATTTCTAGTTATGAATAATGCTTCAGTAATCATCTTCATGTATAATAAAGCTTTGCTAATATTTGAGGATATTTCCTTGAAATAGATGCTTGCATGAAATTACTACAGCAGAGATGAATGGAAAAATGTTAAAAAGTTTCAGATGGATGTTCCAAACTGCTTTCCAAAAAACCAATGTGACCAACGAATGCCATATACTCAGCAACACTAAGAAAACTAATAGTTTAAAAGCAAAGTATTACTCTTTGTGAAGACAGCCTTGTGTCCTTAGTTATTTTGCATTCATTCTTCTGTCTTTTCCTCTAATAAGCACTTACATAAAACATCTATTATGTACAAGGCACCATGATAATTCTGAAGACACAGCAAGTTTCTCATGAAGCTCACATTCAAAACTAGTGAAGCAAGCCAGGCATGGTGGTGCCATCTGTAATCCCAGCACTCTGGCAGGCCGAGGCAGGAAGGGGATGCAAGTGCAGGCCCAGCCTGGCAACTTGGCAAAACCGTGTCTCAAAATTTTAAAAATTTAAAAAGGGCTGAAAATGTAACTCTGTGCAAAGGCCATAGGTTCAATCCCCAATAAGGGGACCAGGGGGCTAGTAAGGCAGACAAGTAAGTTGTTAGGATTTAGAGTGATAAGAAAAAAAGTGAGAGCACTATGGAGACATTTTTGAAGGAAAGAGGCAGGAAGAAAGGGCTTGGATGAAAGGCGATGCTATGCACTGAAGTAGCCCAAAGGAGACACAGAACTAGGAAGACACAGCTAAAATAGTACTATACTGGATTGTTGCCAATACTTTTTCAAGTATTAAAACACAGAAAAGAGTGATATAAAATGGAGCTAATAAAGCAGGTATAATTCAGTAAGAATTTCTTTTCTTCAAATTTTGTGACACTGTATCCAGACTTCTATACAAAATAGCTAATGAATACTGGGCATTATTATCGATAATGTGTGGATTAGAGGTAATTACGGAATAGATTATGATGGGCACAATTCTGGGTAAAGATGCTTTTTTGGTAGTCAGTAAAAGACCCTGCTAGCTTCTCTTATAGACAAAATAATTAGTCTTTACAGACATAAAAATCAGAATCAGATCTACAATGGACACCATTACTGACTCACAAACTGATTATAGTTCTAAGCTAAGTCTCTGATCTCTGATAAATTATGTCAATTTAGCCAAATGTTTTAACATACTCACTTTGACTGATTTACATCAATAAGGGAACCTATCTTTGATGTGGTAAAAGAAATATGTTCATCTCCAATTACAATTTCAAGCTCCTAAAGAAAAAAAAAATACAGTTAATATAAAAATCTATCCCAGAGATAACCTGTATTCTTGCCAGAAAGAGGTTTCAATTGTAGCCGTAAATTTTCTAGTAGTCAATAGAAATAAAGGAGAGCATACAAATAACAGAAACAATAAATATAAATAGAAGGTGTTCAGGCATCTACTGTGTCCTTAAAATAAACACCTCATTGCTCACAAGTTCTACCCCCAATGACAGAACCAACCAGGAACTGCTTTCCAGAAACATCGTAAGAAGATACTGCAAAATGACACAGAAGTTTCTTACAGTGTTAGTAAAGACCAGAGGCATCACTTCAAAGCACGGGTTACAATTACACAAGTATAAACCTATTCTTAGTATATTAAACAGAAAAACATCTCCCTTGCTACAAAATCCTGTAAATAAAATGTATACTCATAAAACCTACCACCTTAGCACCTACTATACATCAGACCCTGCTTCTGGGACTTCACATTCTCTGTAACCCCTAAAATAACCTTTATTAGGTTTACTTTACAAATGTGACAGATTCTTAAAGCCCAGGAAAATTACATGCTGATATTTACAATCACTAATAAGTGACACGAGCAATATTTGACTCCAAGACTGTTAAGATTTAAAGAGTAATACTTTGAATTCATCAATTACAGTTAAGCACCTATAAAACAATTATAACATAATTCTTCCCAGCAGCCATATTATTGTATAAATTTTCCTCTATATTGTTTACCTGAAAATCTAAAACTAATACTTAAGGGGAGGGCAAGGGATTTAGCTCAGTGGTTCCGCCGCCTGTCTCACAAGCACAAGGTCCTGAGTTTGATCCCCGGTACCAAAAAAAAAAAAAAAACTTAAGGGGTTATTCCGTCATGAGTTTTCAAGTTAAACTGACAAATATGTCATTAAAGACAGTCACAGCTATATGCTTAATCAGGAGATCTAATCATGGAGTTTATGGTATACATTAAATGGACAGTTAAGTAAAATTCTCTAACAGTTGCAAAAGTTTTTACTTAATGATCCAAAAGATAATTTCTGGAGCACACCTGCTCCTGCCCACTGACCAAAACCTATAAATACATCGAGTTGCTGGGTGAAACACTGGACTTTCTCTCAGTTTAAAAGATATAAAATGCTAGCTGCTGTTGTTTCTGCTTTTTAGTCCATGTATACAAATGCATAAAACAAACTGAGGTCTAAAGTCACTTTCTACAAGTGATACAATGCATAAAATAAATACTGCTTTCTATTACCTTTATTTTTCTATTTTTTTTTTGGTACCGACGCTCGAACTCAGGCCCTTGCAATTTCAAGGCAGGCGGCAGAACCACTGAGCTAAATGCCCGGTCCCCTTACCTTTATTTTTCCAAATAATGTTTCTTTAAATAGCAGAGTTAAATTACTGTTACTGTCAACATCTGTTAGACTTCTCCACATTTTTCTTCTAGTCAAACAATGTGATCTGAAGTATTATCCTCAAGAATGTAATAAGGTGAAATTAAATGTTTCTTTCTTCCAGAGGTTCTATCTCATTTCTCCAAAAGTCGAAAAGACTCAATTCAGAAACCAAACTGTCTCTCTACAGAGCGAAATTAGGCCCTCAAAGTTCTTCGAAGCCCTCTGAGAAACACCAATTATTCTAAAGGGAATATGAGAAGTGCATGCAATGGTCAGTTTGAACAAAGAAACCAAACAAATAGCTCTTTGGGGCACAAGGATGCAATCAGTTATTCTGAAAGTTATAAATTTCAAGGAAGTGAATTTCATATAGTCACTGAGAATCCTGTCTCAAATTTAACAAACTACACTGTACATATTCTTAATAAACAACATACAATAGAAATTATTCATTAACAATGTAAAAACATCCTAATTTTGGCAGGGTAGCTACAGAAAAAACTGTTCAGAAAAAATGTAGGGCCGGGGATTTAGCTCAGTGGTTCTGGCGTCTGCCTCACAAGTGCAAGGTCCCAAGTTTGATCCCCAGTACCAAAAAAAAAAAACTGTCTACATATAGCACTATGCATGGAAAGGTAGTACAAAAAACGAAGTTAAGGAGGGACTGGGAGTCCAGCCTACTGGAGGAGCACTTGTCCAGCCTACACAAGGCCCTAAGTTCAACCTCTTAGCACCACATCCAAAAAAAAGGTTAGGTGACGAAGAATCAGTAAGGAGCCACTCTAAATAACACAGAGAAATACTATTATTATATTAACAATTTTTAACACTTTTAGGTAAAGAATCACAAACACAAACCTGCCGGCCAACTCTGTCAGGGGGTGGCCACAAAGCATCATCTTCTTTTGTAATTTCACTGTCATCAATTATTCTCTTCAGTTCTTCCATTACACTTTTGTGGACATACGCCTGAAAATCAATGATGATAAAATTGCATTATGTGTACCTATGTCTTTCCACAACTTACAAGGAAATGACAAAACAGAGTTACAAATTCCTAATATACAAGAGTATCACAGATAAATTTCATCCTGATTCCAAAGGTATAGAATATTATTTTTCTCTACTTTCTATATACTCCTCTAATATCTGTAGCCCTTTAAAATCCTTTGTAACATGGAGACTTAACTGGCTAGTAGTGGTAATATAAGGTCTACAAGGTGAAGAGAAAAATGTAAGTACACATCACAATTAATACTCTGAACTCTTTCTTATCCCTAACTCCTGAATCTCTCATTTAAAAATCATACTGCTTATATCTTGATTATCAATTAGTTTTAAATGGTAAAGAGTAAAAAGACAAAGGTAATATAAAGTGAATTAAACGATATTTTCAAATATACCACTGCAAGTTACTATATCCAAATTGCTTCTTCTGTTGTTAACCAATGCCACAATCACATCTAATTGAAATGCAGACTTTTTAATCTGTTAATTGACTTTTTTTTAAATATAGCCTTAGGATGAATTTTTGTAAATTTAACACTGATGTGAGGAAAATGGACTAAATGTAAAAAAAAAGTAGGTACTTGAAAAGAACTTACCTCTTTTCTGATCATGACATCATTTTTGTAATTGCTATTGTTGGCATATCTTAGCTTTCCTGTGAGGAGTGGGGAAAAAAAATTCAATCCATAATAGCAGAAACTGTTAAAAATTAAAAAATAAATAACATTATAAACAATTTTGAAGGTCAAGACCATTTTATACTCTTTTTAATAGTGGGAATTGAACTAGGGACCTCTGCACTGTGCTATATTCCTAACCCTTTTTAAAAGTGTTTTTATTTGAGGCAGGATCTAAGTCACTAAGTTTCCCAGGTTGGGCTCAAACCTCTGATGCTCCTACCTCATCTCCCAGAGAGCCAGGATTATGGACATGATACACCACACCCAGGTGCGCTACCACTTCTGTCAATATTTCCTCCTTCCTGGTATTAAGATCAATGCTAGACATGTAGACACTCAATACTGTCTGGTAAGTTGGCTGATTATAAGCTAGCCAAATTTTAAAATATTCCATGCCTTCAATATATCATAGGTCATTTCTTAGGCCTGTTTTCTTATACTATTTCATGATCTAAAAAGGAAATCTGAAAAAGGAATTACTAGTTCTGTTAAAGTCTGATACATGTGTTGGTGCTAAGTGTCAAAACATTTAAACTAATATGGAGTACAATTCTAAAAAGCAGCTTCTAGTCTCTCACCCTATTCACAGTTGAGAAGACAAAGTTAAGTAACTTGCCCAGGGTCACACAAGATTCAGATCTAGATCTACTTCCTTCCAATACTCACTTTCTCCACTACACCAAATTGATCTCTATTAATTATTTTCATTCAAATTAATGTGCATTCAAATTAATGTGCAAATGATGGTACTAATTTTTTATAACTGTGAATAAGAAGTATACAATCTATGTGCTGTTCCTTGGTAAAACTGACCAGTTAGTTGATTTATATTTAACTTCAATCCATCATGACTTGTACTCGGTGCTACACACTTGCACTCATGGCTAGTCTGTTGCCTAGATACTGCGATATGTGCTCCTGACCCTAGGCTAACCTCGTGTGGCCCATCCCTTAGGAACTGCAGTTTTGTGACTCATTATTACCAATATACCTCAGTGTAATGATGTGGTAGTAGGTAAGTGGATGAGAACCACTGTCTTAGCAGGAAATTTCCCTGATACCACTGGGGTACTTAATTTATGTAAATGGCTAAGAGTCATACAGATAAGCTGTATGTTGTTCACAGACAAGGGGATTAAAAACAATATTACAAAAGGGAAAAAAAGAAAAAGAAAAACACAATAGATGATTTCTGGTAAGTTGGGTGCCTGAACTAAATTAAAGACACTTGGGAAGGCCAAGGATTGGTAAGGTGTTTAAGGTTTCCAAATAATTGTAGGGCTGTATTTACCTTGAATTCTGCCTGAAATGCTTAATACTCTTGCCTTTCCTAATATGCAACCCTCTCTTAATTTTTCTCTCATAGACCCTTGTCCAAAACATGCATAGAGTATTTAGTATCCACACTGTTTTATAACTATAAAACATGTGCATGTTTATGATCCCATCAAGACATGACTCAGTGAGGAAAATTAAGTCATACTCACTCCTGTACCTTCAATTTTTTAACTTATATGTTGCCTAGGACATAATATACTTTTTAAAAAGTCGACTTAGCATAACTGTTCTTGTTGCAGGTGAAGGGAGTTCAGTATACAACAATATTCTATAAAGAATTACAGCTATAAAAGACAAAACTGAGGCTAGGGGTGGTGGCACACACCTGTAATCCCAGCACTCAGAAGAGTGAGGTAGGAGGATTTCAGTAGCCGAGGCTGGCCTGGGCTACCTAGTGAGTTCAAGGACAATCTGAACTACATAGCGAAACCCTGTCTTAAAAACAGAAAAGAGGGCCAGGGATTTGGCTCAGTGGTTCCGCCACCTGCCTCGCAAGAGCATGGACCGGAGTTCAGTCCCCGGTAACCCCCCCAAAAAAAAAAATTGAAAAGAAACCTGCCATACTAGCCCTCTGCTCACCCCTCTCTCAGTCTTGTTTTTTCCTTCCCTCAGAGGCCAAAAAAAACAGTCTCTCTCATTTCTAGACTCAATCTCTGGTGTTTCTTCTTCTAGGAAGCTTTTGTTGACTCCTTCCTGCAGAACCCCCCCCCCGCGCCCCTTTCTGTACTCCTGGTAATCCATCCCTCTGCTGAACAACTGTATTTAAGCACCTACTCAGCCTCAACACTCAGCCTGAATGAATGAATGAATGAATGAAAGTCACTGGTCAAAGATTTTAAGTATCCACTGGACCACCGCTCGGTGGGAATGCTCTTTAGAATATTCGGGCATTATGTCTTTTAAAGTCCTCCTTGGTGCGCTGATTCTAGGATTCCCATTACTGCAGGTTCAACTTTTCAGTCTGCGGCAGAGTTAGCTTTGTTGAATCACTTTATCACAAGTAATTCTTTTTTACTCACAAAACAGCTCAGGCTACATTTTTAAACTATATTCTTAAGCTCTTCCGTACGCGACCGAGGCAGGGCCTGTGCTCCCGCTGCATCCCATTCCAGCGGCCTCCTCTCCCAATTCCCCTTTCCCAGCACCGCGCTCGGCCCCTTCTCTGCTCACCGTCCGGCCGAAACTCGAACTCCAGAAACTCGTGTCCGAACTTTCCCTTGTGCCCTACGTAGTAGCGCAGGTAGAAATCACTAGCCATAGACATTTTTGTACCCTGGAAACGCGCCGAAAGCCCAGCCAACGTGCCACCCGGCGCCTGGAAGTGACGTCAGTAGCTCAGGTTAAGTGCGTCACGGCAGCGCGCAGAATAGGTGCGTCATCTCCTGCTTCCTGGACCTCTCGCGTGAGTGGGTTGGAGGCCTCGCAGAAAGCCTTCGTTGAGCTAAGAAAGGAAGCATTTTATTATCAAAATTAAGAGGATTACATTACGTTAGGAAAGAAGTGTGCAAATGTAATGGCATTTTTATGGGCTTACAACGAAGGTCTAAATTATTTTACACTTCAGCGCTTAAATACCGGCCTGCTTGACTTGGATGTGGAGTTTTGTGGATGTAAACTAAAATGTGCTTTTGGGGTCGCTGATCTTTTGGGATCCTGTGGAGTGAGTGTGATTTATTTCCCACTAAGATAAAAGCCAGAAACAGTGGCAGACCCAGAATATAACCTGTTTCTCTCGGATTGATTACTAACGGGGCTTTGGGTAGTGATTGCTAGTTATTCAGCAGCCAAAAACGTGTAAGAGAGAAAAAGTAGAAGAAATCCATTAAACGAGACCTTTGAAGTTTTGAAAAGGACACTAAACTGAAAAACCCTTAACAGTCATGTTATTGAAGAGCTTTTAATATAATTTACAAGATACTTCGTTCAGTAAGGATTAACCTTTAGCGGCCTGTGAACTTTTGACAATTTGATTTAACATCAAATAATGGTTTAGCCCACATTTCTTGCCATGTAGACCTAAATTGGGACAGTGAAAAAATGTCCCAGCACGAAGGACAGGGGAAAAACGGGTGAACTTTTACACAAAGTCTGCTCTTGAAATACAGATGATTTTTCTTTTACCAACACAGAGTAATTCAGCTTGGTGTAATGGAAAATCCTAGAAGACATGGAATTTAATCCCAACACTTACCACCACTTGACCTTGGACGAGTGATTATCTCTAAACCAAATATATATACAGCAAGTAGTTTTCCAAATCACACAGAATTGTTAAGAACAAATGAGATAATGTTCGTAAAATAATTTTGAAATTTATGCAGTGTGAATTTTAAAAAGCATTTCCTGTGTTCCGAAAACAGTTGAACACTAGTAATAAAAAGGGCCATTTGTACTTCTAGTGCAAAGCAAACATAGAAAGCAAACATGTAAGGCAAACATCAGCATAAGAACAGTAACATCCTGGCATAGTACAACAAAGGAAGCAAGTTGTTTTCTTACAAATAGAGTTTAGAATTAGAAAAAAGGAAAACCGCAAAACTGACTTGTGAAAGGAGGTGTTATGTGAGTTGAATCTTGATGGGTAAGTTCCTTGTATGTTCAGTGAAATGGAAAAGCATTACAGGCTGAGAATGGCCCAAGAAAAAGGCACAGTGATGTGACAGTGCATGCCTGGGAAAAACCAAGAAATTAAGTATAACTAGAATATAAGGTTAATGGAAGTGGATTAACTAGAAAGGCAGGTTGCAGCATGTTATCATGAGTCTGTATTAATATACAGTTATATATGCATAGTATATAGTTACATAACTATTAATATAAAAGATTATTCAATCCCTAACATAGGCTTCTATTTTGGAAAATCCATAAAAAACACAGCCCTATGCCCTATCTATCTCCAGGATCACTAGACATTCCAGTTTGCTCAGGACCTTTGAATTTCTTGGAATGTGACATTTTTGGTTTTAAAACTTGGAAACTCACAGGAGTTCTAAGATGAGTTGGACAGTGTTTACCACAAGAGTAATTCAAAGAAAATTGAGCACAATATTTCATATTATCTTTTAAAATGCCAGTTAAATCCATTTGGCTGAATTCTGTGAAAAAGCTTCATGCAATATCTTTAAATTATCTAAATACTTCCCTCGGGTTTTTGGTACATGTGTTCATGTTCATCTTCATGTCTGCTTAAATAGACATAGGTAACAGATATTGATACTCTGTAAATAGAAGTTATAGAATACACAAAATATTAAGGTCTTTCTAAGTGAACCAGTTACCATCTTGATCGTCTAAAAAGACTTGAGTTCATTTAACCCCCTATAACCCTATCTGTTTTTAAGGTGAAATATAAAACTGTACTTAACTCTTCATATTTTAAGCCAAAAATATGCCAAAATAGATATCTTGTTTCATGTTAACAAATTTTACAAAGCAGTAAAACATTTATGTTTTGTGGTCTTCTCAGGTATTATACAATGGCAATGTGAAAATGTTCTGTATGGTTACTGAGCATTTAAAATGTAGCTCCCATGACTGAAGTACTGAATTCTTAATTTTGATTAATCTTCATTAGCATTTTAATAGCCACATGTGACTAGTGGCCACTGGGCAGTTAGCAGTTACGTAAGTTTTTCAAGTATCTTAGTTAGGCTGGAAATAGTGAAAATGCTTTGTGAATATTTTTCAATCTTAGTTGCTGTTGGCTCTAAATTAGAGCATAATTACTTATATCACCACGGTTTACTTATGAAAATAAATGTTTGAGTTGCTTATGTGAAACTAAAATAGTGATTCTGCCTTTACTAACACAGTAGTTAATGTCAAAGACTCTTGTATAGTTTTGAAGTAGATAAATAAACATTTTATTTCCAACTCCAACTAAAATTAATGATTTATTTAAATGCACAATATCCATGGATAAAATTATTTCCACTGGAATTTTTAGGTTTATTTCAGCTTTATGATGATGAATTAACTTAGGGGACTGTAATCAGAGATTATTCTTAATTAAAATTGTTAATCAAATATTTTGCTTGTTTTTTTCTATATATATAAAATTCTTTTAAAATCTCCCTTTTATGCCCTCTCTATCTACTTAATTTTTTGCCCTTTCAACTCTTTGTTTAAATTGATCAAATCGTACCAACTTTTGACTTCCAGAAACATGTTCTGTGTAGTGATAAACACTAGACAAAATTGTATTTTTATCAGTACCTTTGATTAGCTTTTTGTATTTACAGAGTAAATTTTATTAGGGTTAGTTCATTCAGCGAAATGGATCAAAATAATAAGTCAAAAATAAGAGTAGTGTGTAGTTTTTAAAATATGCCAAAATGATATAAATTTTTTAAAAGAAAAGCCACACGCCTTTCTCTTCTCTTCTATAAAAGACTTTCCTATTGACATTGCCATATCTACCTTTTTTACCACTCTGTAATACTTTTTAAGAGCATCACCATCATGCAGAAACACCATACTTTCCACACCACTGTTTGTCATTCCATATAAGAATTTTTGTGTAGCATAGGACATTACTGTGTGCTTTAAACACATGATATCACTTCTAATTTATGCCCCAAACAAATGAACACAGTGCCTTACATTAAGGAAATAAGCTATCCTCGGGTCTTCTGTTGTATGTTACTTGGTTTTTTACTTGAATGAGTATGGTGAAGCAAAGCAACGTTTTCTTAAATTATTACAATAAGATTAAGAAAATTCTGTCGAGCGGCCCACCTGCAGGTACACACCTGAGCTCACTCCTCTCATGGCTCCCATGAGCCCTGCCTAGCCCAGCCCTTCAGCATAGAACGGCACCCTCCCGGGTCCTCACGTTTGGGCGCCTGCTCCTGGTGGCAGTGGTGGTGGTGAGCACAGCCCAGGAAGCATGTGACTGTGAGAACTACAGGTTGACCATAAACTGCTCTGTGAACAGAAATGGTCAGTGCCAGTGTACCTTCATGGTACACAGAATACTGTTATTTGTACAACACTGACTTCCAAATGTTTGGCGATGAGGCAGAAATGACTCATTCAAAGTCTGGGAGAAGACAAAAACCTGAAGGAGTGATCCAGAACAACGACAGACTGTATGACCCCAACTGTGATGAAAATGGGCTCTTTAAAGCCAACCAGTGCAATGGCATTGCTACATGCTGGTGTGTGAACACCGCCAGTGCCCAAAGGACCACTAAGGACACTGAGCTACAGCGCCCAGAGCTGATGAGGACCTACTGGGTCATCACTGAACTAAAGCCCAAAGACAACAGTCTTACAGTCTTGAAAGTTTACAGACTGTGCTTTAGGGGGTGATCACAACCTGTTACCAGCTGAATCCAAAATGTGTCACAAGCATTCTATATGGAAACAATGCTATTACTGTTGATCTGATACAAAATTCTTCTCAGTAGACTCAATGATATGGACATAGATGACATGGCTTACTATTTTGAAAAAGATTTTAAAGGTGAATCCTTGTTCCACTCTAAGAAAATGGACCTGAGAGTAAATGAGGAACAACTGGATCTGGATCCTAGTCAAACTTGAATTTGAATTTACTATGTTGATGAAAAAGCACCTGAATGTTAATGCAAGGACTAACAGCTGGTGTATTTCTGTCATTATGGTGTGACAGTAGCAATTGTTGCTGGAATTGTTGGGCTGATTATTTCCAGAAAGAAGAAAATAGCAGCATATGAGAAGTCTGAGAAAAAGGAGATGGGTGAAATGCATAGAGAACTCAATGCATAACTGCTGAAATTTGAAGATTAACCACAAGAAGGGAAATTAGCAAAAGAATTACAAATGCATGGGACAAAAAGATCTTTGAGTAAACATTTGTAATAGAGAAATCTATACTCAAAATATAAGCAGTTTGAAATTGGTATTACCAATCTTAAAATCTGACCCTAAGTGTCTTATATGTGCAGATCTAATATTAAAACCCAGAACTTGCATTGCATAGTTAAAATGTATGTGAAATATTGAAGAATATGTTCAGTATGCTTCCACAGAGTCTGAAGGACCGCTGTCTCATTTGTGATTGAAAGCTGCCTTTCTGTTTACTTTGAGTCTTGTATATAAACTCTTTTTATGAAATAAAATGTTTAAACTGAAAAAAAAATTTAAGATTAAGAAAATCCTTTGAACCTACTTTTTTTCTTTTAAAATGGTGAAAAAAATTGTTACTTAATTTTTATAGCACAATACCTAAATGTACTGTGAAAACCACTAGTGTTCTACATGAACATGAGAACTTGAATTTGAGAACTGCTAGTTCAGACCATTCTATGTTATTTGTTAAGTTTCCGTTAGACACTTTAGTCTGAGGTTTACTCAGTTCCTAACTGTTGAATTTTTTTTTAAACCATACAACATAAGAGTAGAAAAAACAAAGCTGGACAAGGGCCAATCAAAACAATTTTTTAAATCGATGTGAATAAAAAAATCTATGTGGATTAAACTTGTTTAGTAAAGATTTAATTCTATTCATTATCCTAGAAATAATCTAATATTGCTGGCAAGTCAAAGATGTCAGAAATAGAACCTCCAAAATGTAATCCTTCTCTTGGAAAAAGCCTGGAAAATTGAAAGAAACACCCCGTTTTCTTAGAATAAAAATTACTGGCTCCAGTTTTCCAAACTGTATCCAGGAAACAAATAAAATTGTAGGAAAACATTTAAAATACCAATTACTGTATTTCTCCTCAGACCCAAACAAACACCCATATAAAAAGATCAGTCCTCTATTGCATTATATCTACCACTTGGCTTAATGCCTAGCACAAGGATCTTTAACACTCAATTTCTTTTAGTCAAATAAATACTTTGAAAATCTGATTTAAATGAATAGCTGAGAGGCAACAATAGAATTATGTGACATGCTATTTTGTATGAAGCTACTCTGCTTCCTTTTCCCTGTTTGCCACTTGTGATATATTTAAATCCTAACTACTCATTGCGGTATTCCCACGGGAGCAAGAATGATTCTACATTTAACTGACTCATCATGACTCCATTAGGATTCCACCTTCTACAACTGTTTCAGCTGACAGTCTTTTCTTTGACACCAGTAGCCTTAGATGTCCCTTCCAGAGTAACCACAGTGTCCTTTCAAATCACAGATTACTGTACTCAACAGAATTGTCCTCACTTTGATATTTTAAATATTTTTGAAAGAGTAGAGGACTATTTTCATCACCAAAAAGCTCATACAAAAATGCTCACTTCAAGCTGGGCATGGTGGTGCATTTCTGTTATCCCAGCACTCTGGGAGGCTGAGGCAGGAGGATCACAAATTTGAGCCCAGTCTGGCCAACTTAGCAAGACCCTGTCAAAAAAAATTTTTTTAAGAGCTGGGGGTATAACTCAGTGCAAAGACCTTGGGTTCAATCCCCAGTACAATTTGCAGTGTCACAGACTGAGGTTTTCTTCTTGACAACAGTATATTTTAAATACAACAGACATTAATGGTCCTGGGATGGGAAGGGCAAAAAAATGAAAACTAACATTTATTGAGCAAGTATATTATGTACCAGATACTGTACAAATACATATTGTCACAAATCCTCACAAAACCCTGTGAGGTAAGTAATCTCCCCATTTTCTGATAATATAGCTTGCATCTCATAGTGTGCCTGAATTTTTCTATTAGCATGAATTTCTATTTATTTACTTTCAACTTTCCTATTGTAGAGACTTTGGCAGTTGTATATCAGAAAAGCTGACTTACACTCAATAAATATTAATTTGATATAGTGTCTCATAGTACATCAATGGATGATTGGAAATTAGAAGCTACCATCCTATATCAGAGTACATTCTTATCTCACTCTTGTTAATGGCCATCTTAGCTAAGACTTCTCTCTTGGTTTCCACAATTCCTATTTGGGATACACACGAAGCATTTCATCACTGATTGAATGTTTATTCTCAAGAATTAATCTCCTTAGTCTTAACAAGGACCAGGAAGCAAAGTTGATGAGCAGTACATATCGAATGTTACTAATCATGAAATGATTCCTCCAGCTTCTAATTAAACGTAGTATTACCCAGGCAAGGGAACATGCCTGTTCCACAGTACTGGTGTGTTGAGGCAGGAGAATCACAAGTTTGAGCCCATTCTAGGCAACTTATGAGACCATGTCTCAAAATAAAAAGAGCTGAGGATATAGCCCAATGCAAAAGCCCTGAGTTCAATTCCAAGTTCCACAAATAAAAGTAGTACCAAACAAGGTTCACCTGTCTCAGAATTAGATAAAAAGGGACTATCTTATCTATGCCCAAGAGGAAACTCAAGTTTTATAGTTCTCCAGTTCTACACAAAGGGATCAGGACTAAAGAACTTTATGTCCCCTCAACATAAAGGGGACCAGATTTCCCCTTAAAGGAGATCTTGTTCTATACCTATACTCCTGAGCAAATAGGACCTTGAATTTCTTCCTCATCAATCCCTTTGAGTTTGTATTCCTTCATTTCATTCTAGTGCATTTGAACCTTGTAATAGGTCTAGTTAAAGACATTTCTTCAGCAGTAAACTAGCCTGGGGTGGGAGGGAAGAGCCTACCCCCACAACTGCAGATTTTTTAGACCACCTTTATAATGACATCCACATCACCTCTGTCCAAGTTCTTCAGAATAGACAGTGCTCTGAGACTGACAGTATTTCTCAGCTTGTGAGAAAAGTCCAGCATCATTTCAGATTTCTAGGGAAATGTGTAGGGGAAGATCCTTTTTTTCCCCCTCTGTGTCCCACCAGAAGGTCCATTTTCTATTCTTGGAGAAATTGATCCCATAATTGACCATCCATAAATGTGTCCCAGCTGACAGTCTTCAAAGGATGCTGTAGCAGTAGGAGAGGCTCTCTGTGCTGATGCCAGCCACAGCCGCATACAGCTCTGGCACCACCAGCTCTGGCACTTGAAACACAGCCTTATCATCCGCGGTTCTAGTGGCAGCTTCCAGGCGCGAGCGCAACTCTCCAGGTAAGGGCCGGGAGTCCTCGCTCCAGTGCCAACAGGATTTCATAATGTTATACCTGTGGAGGGGACAAGGGAAACAGGCAGATTCATGGGGAACATGTCTCCTCTGCCAGCAAACCTTAACAATAACAAAACCCTGCGGTTTTTAAATCTTCTGTGTGCCCTGTCTCTCATATTCCCAGAAACTGATGCTCCTTTTCATCCTCTTTATAACATATTCTCAGTGTGACCTCTTTTATACTAGAAATGATGAGATATTTCAAACTACAGAGATGACAAAATTATTTTTCACTGCATATTGTTCATTGCACATTGTAAACAACATTGAAGTATCTTTTTCACTTTGTGATGGAGCTCTTAATCATTCTGCTGTATGCTGATTTTCATGTCGTTTCAGATATCTCCTTATTAAAATCTTAAATTCTTTAAGGTCAGCTACTTTGTCACTCAAGTGTCTCCCCAAGTATGGACAAATTCATAGACACACAAAGCCTCCAAGGAATATTTGTTAAAGTTTAATTATGTTATGCCCAGCCAACATAAATATACTGTGTGTGCATATGCATGTATATAGCTAAGATAGCTAAACTTTATAATCTGCTTGATACAGTAATTATAGGGTAGAGAAAAACAAGCTCGAGAGATTTTCCCCTTCAGTGCTGAAAATTTACAAAATAAGAATTCTGACAGAGGGCCAGGGATTTGGCTCAGTGGTGCTACCTCCTGCCTCAAAAGTGCAAGGTCTAGAGTTTGATCCTCAGTACTAAAAAAAAAAAAGAATTCTGACAGAAATATTCACTAACATATTCTCTGCCTCCTTATTCATAATTTTAACCTTTTGTTTTATTCTTGTCTATTTTAACTTCATTAATGACAAAATTCTATGTGTAATTTTTAATTTTTTAATTTTCTGTTTATAAATTGGTTAACCCACAAGTGTCCCATTCTTCTGACAATATAAGATCTTCCTTCCCCCATCTTTCTAGTTTCTTTCTACCTGCTTTCTTCTAGTTGACCTCTGTCTTGCTGAGAGCTGGGAAAACAGAGTGACTAGTTTCTAAAAGTTAGATAATAAATAAGAGCCATATATGCTGAATAGTGTGATGGTCTAGTAGGTCTAGTGTGATGGATTTTAGGGAAATCTATCTGAACTGAGGCTGGCAGAAGCCTGGCATTTAAACAAATAAAGTAATGTACTTGGCTGCATTTGTTCTGTTTCCTGCCTGTTTTAGAAGTTTCCTGTGGAACTAAACTTCAGCAAAGTTAGATTTGTAATATAATTCTCAGGGGTTGCCTCAACATTGTGTGAGAATGTGTGTGTATAGACTCAGATATATATTATGTAAGTATATGATATATGAACTGTATATGAACTTTTACCTCATGGGTTTGATCTAAGGCTGTGCATTAAGGAATAAGGACAATTAAGGATCATCTGAGACATTTTGAAGAGCATGTAACTGATAGGATACAAAAACATATTTGGAATCAAGAGAAAAGCAGACCTTTAAAAGCCACTTACATGGTGTGTGTGCAGCTACTGGGTCTCTTCATGATTTTCCCTCTCTGAAGATACTGTAGAATGCTGGGAGGAGGGACTTCAGGATATGGCGGTGCCCCTGTCGATATGGAAAGAAAGAGTAGAAAGAGAACTTTAGAGCCCTCTAAAATATGAGCTGCATATAACATTGCTCTCCAACAGCTTGGGCCAATCACCTACAAAAGATGTAGCAATAAGAAGAATACTAGATACAACATAGTTAGTCCTCATTGATCAAGTAAGGATAAAGCTTGGTGAATTTGGAGAAAGCTTCTTACTGATGTTAGAAGAATCTAGAGTCTGTAGGGAATAATAAGACAAATAAAGGAAATTTGCCTTCTACTCTTCATAACTTGAGAAGGTGCTCCAGTTTCTGAATTGAATGGATTAATCTAAAGAAAACATTTTATGTTACAGAAAAATCACTGTGGGAATTATCCTTTAGATTTGAAAACACCTCCCTGAAATTGCTACTGTTTGGGGGAAAAGAAAGAGAAAGACAGCAAAAGAAAGTTAAAATAAGGACAGGGAGGGAGGGAGCAAGTAGAGATTGTCATTTTATAAGACTTTTCAGGAACCAGGTATGGAATTCACGTCAGCCAATTCAGTCTTTGGACCTGTTCTGAAATACTTTCTCAAAGAAAACATTGTCCACCCCCACACACACACACACACAATGTACATATGTGCATTACAGCCACACACTATTTTGGGAATCATCCTTACCTAGAGTCACCATCTCATAGAGCAGGATCCCAAATGACCAGCTGTAAAAGAAAAAAAAATCTACTTAATATCTGTTTTGCCTTTCTTGAAGAGAGATCAAATATAAGAAACCATCAGGAAGAGCCACCAAAAAGAAGGTAATGAAATAGAATCAAAGATATGATAAAATAAACTGCTTTTAAGTATTTCTTTCCAATTCCTTTAGCTTCTAGTGTCTTTGAAGACCAAATCTATATCTCTTTTTCTGTATTTCACCTTAATAGATATTTACTATTATTTGCTAATGTGTGAATGCAAACACACAAGCCATTCACCCAGAGAAATTTCCCTCTATATCTTCTTTTATTCTCTCTCATCCCTCTTTGCTAAAATGTCAGTCTTTATTCTCAACAAAAGGCCAATTGAGATTTATCATTTATCCACCACTTTCTCAGTAGATCTAATTGCTCAAATCTAAGAAAAATATTAACAGACCAAGCTTTACATGGAGTTGTAATTAGTATTTGCCTCAGAAACATGACTATATATATATATATATCTATATATATCACTACCCTATAATATCATTAAGTAATATTTTACAATTAACTTTATTACCTACAGATTTCTACTGAAAAGCAGCTATAAGTGAACTAGAAGTTTCTTAAGTGATTTGCCATATTAACATTTAAGTTTCCCCTGCCACTCATGGCTACTAGAAAATTGTATGTCTCACTGCTTCTTTAAGAAATAGAGTTATGTGGTTACCAGAAGTCAAACATGACTCTTTACAGTCCTATTTATACAAATTGTACACATACCTGTAATTGTGTGTCACCATGTAATCAAATATTACAGAAGTTGGTTAAACTTACACTTATCTTCCTGAAAAATAAGTTGAATGCCTTGAAAATAGTCTATAACAATATGCTATGAAATTGTAAAATTGTGTAGCTGAGACAACTATAGAAAATAGGAAAAAAGTCAGCAATCAAATTGTTTCACTAAGCCTAGAACCATCCCAAACTGGAACTGAAAAATTAGTCATCATGGATACTATTTAGATAAGAAACAACATTATAACTTTGTATAGGAGCCACATCCTCACATATTGCAGCTTTGATATCTTTTGCAAATGGGAAGAGGACCAAGTGATGGAGGAAGAGGGGAGGGAGGGAAGAAAAAAGGAAGTAAAGTGTTATGTATTCGTACCAACTCCCCACGATTTGTGTAATCATTAGGTACTGCAAACAAGTACTAATAAAAATAATTTAATACATCTTTGCTCTTTCTTTAAGATTATAAATATATATGGTTATGTTGTAACTTAAAATAAATTGTTTGAGGTATGTATAGTCTTTGTTTTAGTAATTCCTTGCTTAATTGGCCTTAAGTGGACTCACACCTTTGAGGACAACTAGATTAAATCTTCAGATGTTGCTGTGAATAATATTTTCATTTTCCTTTTTTATTTCCAATGAAGACTGTTAATTTTTTTTTTTTTTGAGGCAGGATCTTGCTATGTAGTTGAGGCTAGCCTTAAACTTGCTATGTAGCCCAGGCTGGCCTTGAACTCACTGCAATCCTCCTGCCTCAGCCTCCCTAGTGCTGGGATTACAGGCATGCGCCACCACACCCAGCCTAGACTGCTCATTTAATACAGCAGGAAAAGGCACTATAAGGAGATTGTCAAACATGAACTCTGTCACATAACATTTCTGCTCAAGAGTAAGTCTGCCTCCCAAGAGAGAGAGATCTCATTTACAGACATAATTGTCAACACATACACAGTCATATTCAGAGAGGACACCCAGGCCATGAAGGGAAGAAATCTAGAGTGCAGGAACAAACCATACATGTCTCCTCTGATGCCAGCCGGTCTTAGAAGAAGCCGCTCTGGAGCGAGCCACTTGAGAGGAATGGTTCGAGCAGTGGAGATGGCCCCTTGAGCATGGACTTCATAAGCCAAGCCCAGTCCACAGAGCTTAGCAGTCAGATCACTTTGGATCAAGATATTTCTGGCTGCCACATCCCCGTGGAACAAATGCTTATCCTGCAGGAATTCCTGTCAGCATAGGATCAGAAATAATCAGCTGCCTGAAGGCCAAAGCCCAGCTCACAGATGAGAGAAACAGTCCTAGGAAACCTCAAAAAAATAAGAGAATTTTCTACTCTCAACAAATCTCACTAAGAAGGATCACTTTCAAAGCATGTTAATGAGTCAGACACTTTTGCCTCATGATTAGTATTCACAAACTGAGCAAAATAATAAATATTAAATGTTAATTTATGTATTTATCTATTTTTACAGTGCTAAGGATTAAACCTAGAGTCTCATGCATGGTAGGCAAGCATTGCACCACTGAGCTACATCCCCAGCCCTGACACTAGATTTTGATAGTATAACAACCTGCTCTGTGTCAGACTCTGGTGGCCACTTTATTTCTCTTCCCCCTCAGGTAGGACCTAGTTAGATATTTGAAAAGAGAATAGACCCCATAACAAAATTGAATGTCATAATAGTAAATTTATACAGCCAGGCATGGTGGCACATGCCTATAATCCCAGCACTTGGGAGGCTGAGGCAGGTGGATTGCTTTGCATTCAAGGCCAGCCTGGGCTACATAGCGAGACCCTGTCTCAAACAAAAACAAAAAACAAATTTATACAGAGTTTTATATTATCTCATTTTGTCCCTAAAATAATTGGATGAGGTGAGTTAGAGTAAGTATCTTTCAGATAAATCTAAATGAGTATGCAAGGCCACACAGTTATTAAGTGATAGTGAGCAAAACCAGGTGTCCCACTTAATAGGAAGTACTACAAAAACTCTACTAATAATTCCCAAGCCAGGATCTAAATCAGAATTGCCTGAGAGCTTTTTAAAAATGTAAGATTTTCACTCCAAGTTCACTGAACCATCATCTATAAAGACCAGATAACCTGTATTTTTTAAAAGTATCAAAAACAATTCTAGTGTAACCAAAAATAATTGAAGAACCACTGAAGCTATGACATAGGTTTTTCTGGAATCATTTCCTGCAGCATGAAGCTGTTCAAAATATATGGAGAAGCTGAGGTGCTACGTGTGACTGAAGAGCTAGAAACTGAGGGCTATGATGACTAAACAAGGATGGTGTAAGAAAATAAAAGGTTAAGGTGATAATTTCCAATCATTGATGAAGACAGTGACTAGCAGTTTTCTGTCTCTTTTGAGGTTTTAGAATAAACAAATTGTACTGTAATGAGAAGACCTAAGGAATATACTGTCTTGGAAGTTGTTAAAAAGAAGAATAAATAGTATGATACTGCCTTGCTACAGGTAATGCGGGCATTGATGCACACATCAGTTCATCCCTACGGGGCACTTCTGCAGTTATGGTCAGGAGACAAGGTAGGCTGGCATCTGACACCCTGACTTTATCAGGGAACATACATTACAACCACTGCAGGTGATAATCATTTATATGATGTGTTCTTTCCCTTGTCTCATAAAAGCCTCAACTGCGACTACTGCTTTTTGCTCACTTTGCTACTTCTTTTTGTTTGTTTGGTTTTTTCTAAGAGTTTTCAGATTTCATTTATATCACTGGTATATTTCACACATTAAAGTGTGGAAGGATAAAGCAAATACTTAAAATAGGAGCTTCACTAAGCCTTAATTCTTCTATACCAAATGCTAATTTTGAACACAATTTTTTAATTACTTCATAGAAATAATCATCTAAATTTCCTTAGTAATTCTGGTAAAGATAAATTATTACTCTTAATCCTAGAATTCTCTTACCTCTTCAAGTTGGCTTACAATAAAAAGAGTTGCCTCTTCTCATTCTTCCTCTTCCACTTGTTTCTTATTTTTTAAAGTGTATGTATACCCTAAGTCAGAGGGCACATAGCTCTTCACCCTGGCTTTTAAACTTTCAGAATGAGTAAAATTTTCTAATTTTTCCTGTTCCTTCTGTAAACTCTAAATTGACTACCTTCTGCCTGGAATTACCAATCCTATATTATCTAAATGATTTATATAAAGAAGGATCTAAAACAATTTATCAGTACTTCAGTGACTGTCCCCTAACTTCTATCTCATTTACTTAAAATATATACCCTATTTGGTAATACAAATATGAAAAATCATGCATATCAAATGCTAAGCTAATAAGAATTCACATCATCTGTTGCCTGAACTTACCAGAGCCAAAAGGACCTGCTTTCCAATGTGATAGACTTGTTTTTCTGTGAGATCATAGAGAAGACCATCCATGGTCATCACATCCTAAACAGAGAGAAAAGCATTATATCAAAGTGGCATTAACATAGGCAATTTTAAAAGGTATGGGAGAGATACTCTGAAATTCAGATATCCAAGCTAAGCAAAGCATAAGGATTAAGAGTCAAAGAGACTAATATGAAAGATTTTGAAATATGTAGGACTATGTAAGTCATTGGACTGGAAGAAGATGAAGAAGGAAGAAAGATAGCAGGTGAGTAAGAGAGTATGTGTAAGACTATCCACTGAGAAGATGAGTTTTTCTGGGACAGTGTGTGTGTGTGTGTGTGTGTGTGTGCGTGCGCACATGGTTAATTTAATACATTATTGCATCTTTATTGACGGCTCATACTGTGCCAGTTCTGTAAGAGTGAGCAAAATAAACATACCTGCTGCTATGATTATTCTGTGGCAGATATGCATGAATTAGAATCAAATAATCATAATTAAGTAAATGGCTGCATATCTCTAAGGTGCCATGAAGGAGAGACACAAAGTAAAAAGAGCATATGATGGAATGAGGAGAACTGATTCAGCTGAAGGGACCGAGAAAGCTTTTGATGATGTCTTCAAGATTAATGGACATAGCAGAAAGGAGGAGGAGGAGGTCTAATGTATTAAGAGAAGTACATGAAGATGATCTGAAATATAGAAGCATGGTAGTTGTATAAAATGAAAAGAAACAAGGGTGAATAGAGAGCAGAACAAGTCAAGATAGATAACTTCGTAAAAGATTTAAAATGCCTAAAGATCTGCACATTGTCCTATTTATATCACTGGACAAAAGACATGAACCCTTTTTATACATATTTACTTATACATTAATTAGCATGTTGTGGAAGTTCAATTAATATTGAACTTGCTCACTAGCAAGTGAGAAACAAGTACGCTCCAGAAAAAGGAATAGAGAACTAAGGAAGTTGTAAGGGACAGGACCTCCATTTGAGATGAACATTTCTAAACATTTTTAGAAATACGAGTTTGAGGTACAAAAACTTACAAACTGAATTTGTCCCTGGTCATCCCTGGCATACTAGGCTGATATTACAGAATGGAAGATACACTTAACAGTAAGGATAAAAGGATTACAAGCATGACTAATAATAGTTATGTTACATAATTACTATAACAGCTATCATTTTGAGGACTTCCTAAATTCCAATCACTTCTATGTTTTTACACATATAATGTCTTGATTTTTGTAATGTGTTATGACTCCCATTATATAAATTTTAAAAATTCAAAATCAAAGAGGTAACATCAAAAGTGACAAAGCTAGTAGACAGAGATGAGAGCCCACACTCTAAATTTGCACTGCCCAATACATTTGTCCTTTGCCTCATGTCTGTTTAAATTTACATTATTTTGGCCAGGGATTTAGCTCAGTGGTTCCGGCGCCTGCCTCCCAAGTGCAAGGTCCTGAGTTCAATCCCCAGAACCAAAAATAATAATAAATTTACATTATTTAAAATTAAATAAAATATAAAATTAAGTTTCTCAATCATATCCACCACATTTCAGGTGTTTAATAACCATATGTAACTAGGGGCTACCATTGGACCAGGTAGATGTGGAACTTTCATTGCAATTTGGACAATGATACTCGAATTACTCTGTTATACTATTATATTCCCCCTAAATTTTGTCATTTGTGATGCTAACTGACATGTGAACAGCTAATCAACCAGTCAAGCCTTTCCCTCCTGACAATTCTACCCTGCTGCTCACCCGGCGACAGGTCCAGAGAAAGCTGAGCAGGTCCCCCTGGGCCACATCTTCCAACAGCATATAGACTGGCAGCCTTTCCGTGCAGCAGCCTTCCAGGTGGACCAGGTTCTGGTGTTTCCCTAGGTACTGATAGAACTGGATTCGCCCCACGAAATCCTTCACCTCCTGGAGCCCAGCTGGTTCTGCAAAGGACAGAAGAGTGGGGGCGGTGAGCAGCTTCAGATGGTAATTCCCAAGGCCTCATGGGAGAGGAAGTGCAGACAGAAAGTAATATAAAGAGGACTAATTAGAAGAAAATGGTGTTCAAAGTGATTGGACTTTTATCAAACATAACACAGAATCATAGATCTTAAACGGAATAAGCTTTATTCTCCCTAAATAGACAAATGTTCTGTTCACATTAAAACATTATCACAGTCTAGCGTTTTTGGTTAATATTCTTACCTGTCTTATCTTTGTTCTGTTTTAGAGGAAGAAGGAGAGAAAGAGACATTAGGAAAAGGAATTAAACAGTGAAGAAAACTGAAAAAACAATCTCAAAATCTTACTCCAAATTTGCAAAGCTTATGAACATTTATTGTAAGGGGCTTCCTGGAGAGAAATAGAAGGAGTGGGAAATCTAGCCCTTCTCATCTTACCTTTTAAAGCCTTGAGGACAACACTCTTGGGCTTAGCAGGGTCCCCAGAGATCACTGTGGCTCTATAGGTGGTTCCACAAATGCCCTTATGGATCTGCTCCAGATCTTCAGAGAGCTGATCCCGGGGAACCTGTAGCTTAGCTAGGGAAGGCGTGACAGCCCGTAGAAAACTTTCCACTGATGTCTCCGTAAGTGTCATGACCACTTTTTCTCCACATCCTTCTGCTGCCCCGGTTAGGCTCCTAGATGCAGGCATGGAGGCAATGCCTACAACAAAGAACAAGCCAGGAAGTTCCTTCAGCAATTTTCTCTTTAGCCAAAGGAAGGATGTCTTCCAATAGTTCTCCATGAACAAGTGTCAACACCAAGCTTGTAGAGCCTTTCTAATAATCCCCATTACTTCTAGGGCAACTCAAGATGCACCCCTAGAAAGTGGTCATGACATCTCCTTTCTGTCTTCCTCAGGATTACAAGTGAGTGTTCCCCATGAGTGTGTTGTACAGAGACAAGGAAGTCCCTGAGAAGGTCCCAAACCACATATGCCTAAAGATGGTGTGACCACCAGTGGCGACTATCATTTAAATCAGTCACATGGCTTCCAAAGTTGAAAGAAAAGTATGGATATTCCCTTAACTAAAAGCTGTGGTTATTCTTTCTTCCTCGGGTTGTCCTAAAAGTTAAGTTATTTCATATTTCCTTGACTCTTGCTCAAAAGACTCTCCTGATAGTTTCTATCTTCTTTAGCCAAAATGAATTTTTCTCCAGTAGGAAAAGAAAGGGTCATTCTTATTATTAAATCTATAGTAACTCATTAATTTATCCATTTACTCAACAAATATCACATATACTATTCTGGGATTTTAGAATAGGCAAAGTCTAGATTCTCAGAGAGGTAACTTTCTAGTGATAGTTTAGATAATAATGTATGAGTCCAGAGGGTCTTATGGAGGAAAATGACAAAAGAGGCATCAGTAATGTTATTTTCTGAAAGCATCAGAAGGTCAAGCAGGGCCTTTCTGAGAAGATGACATTCGAGAAAGACATGGAAAAAAATCAGGGAACAAACCATGCTGGAGTTAGGGAGGGTATTACAGACAAAGGGGACAAGGTGTACAAAAGCACTAAGACAAGAATATATATGATATATTTGAGGAACTGCAAAGAAGCAGGGCAGCTGGAGCCAAGTGAATCATGGGAGAATTGTAGGAGATAAGGCCAGAGAGCCGTGGATCACCTAAGATGTCTTCCTGGGGAGAATTTTGTCTTGTTTCATTCTGAGCAAGATAGGAAGCTCTTGGAGGTGGAGAGTTCAGCAGGGACCTGAGAGAAGCACTGTGGCTCGTCTAGGGGAAAACAGAGCATAAAGAAGTAGGGTAGGGAGCGAATAGGCAAAGAAGTTAAGGGTGTTTTACAATGATCTATAAGAAGTAGGCAAAGAAGTTAGGAGTGTATTACAATGATCTGTAAGAAGTGTCAGTGACTGGGACATGGACTGTGAGAGAAAAGAGAGGAGTCAAGGATATCTTCAAGGGTTTAGACTGAAAACACAGAAGGCTGGGCTTGCCATTTAATGAGACAGGGAAAATGATCAAAGACACTTGTCAGGGAATTTCAAGACTTTTGTTTTAGACATATTGTGTATGAGATGTTTATTACATTGAAACTCCAAAACAGGTGGTTTAATATAAGATTCTGGAGTTCTAAAAACCACAGTCAGAATAGAAAAGGTATTTAAATCCAAAAGAATGAAAACTACATCATTTATAAGGTGACTTTAAATCTTTTTCAAAAAATATTCCAAGAAAGCAAAAGCACAAAAATGTTTCTAATGAGTTTTACAGGCCAAGTAAGATGAGAACTAAGAAGTAATCATCTGACTAATGAACACAACGTTATTGAGCTTGGAAAGAGTTATTTTGGTGGAGTAGTAGATATCTGAGCTTTATTTTAGTGGGTTCAAAAGAGAATATGACAAGAAGTAACAAGAATGAGTTTAAACAACTTCTTTGAAAAGATTTCTATAAAAGTGAACTTTAAAAGAATTGTCATAAAATTTAGAAAGGGACTACTATCCCAAACACTATAGAGTTTTATGTAACTGCCTCTTTATAGTTTCATCTATGAGCTGATTCTCTTTCGTTCTATGAGAGTACTATAGACAGTATCTAGAAGAGCTCCATTAGCATCTCCTTCCTAACACTTCAAAGACTAGCATGAAGGTCACCACTTCTCATCATGTATTTTAGAGAGGAAGATAGGGCTGGGAAGTATCATAGAGTAAAATCTTATCCTCCAAAGATGTTAACAAACCCTTGGGCTTTCCCTTCTAGATCTTCCTCTTGATTCTTAGACCCTATTACAGTCAAAGGTTTGATGGTACAGGAGGGGCCATACGAGGTCTCTCTTGCCTGCTCTTCTCCCAGTCGCCAAGCATGTGTGATGATCCAGCTCAGGACCCTCCTTGGCTCCACGGGAGGAAACCCATACTTCTCCCATTTCAGGCACTGAGATTCCTGGACTCGGGCCCATTGAAATCTGCCCCACATTTTTCCTCTCACACATCTTCTCTGAGCCCTGGCCTAACCCAATGTTTGAGCTTTACCTCGGAGTCCAGGGCGCTGCCGTTGGGATCTTTGTCCTCTTATAAATAGCCACAAGATGACAGCAAGAAGGACGAGGAAGGCACCAACCAGCAGAGCTGGGACAATGATCACTGCGTACTCCTCCCCCTGTACAACTGAGCAGGCAAACAGGAAGGGAGAAGAAGTAAGAGGCCTGACCTGATGTCATGCAATCCCCCTGCCTACCAGTCTTCCTCCACCACGTGTGAATGTCATCTTCTCTGCCTTTCTCTCTAGTAGAAACCCGAGAGTCCCTGTTTCTTGGCCCATCAAGTGTGTGCTGTGCCTTTTCTCTCATTTTTTTCTGCTGAAATAGAGGATGCAGCACCAGGATCTCTGCCTGGCATTCATCCCCTACTCCCCAAAGACAGTGGCCTGTGATCCCACTCTCTCATCACCATTCCCTTCACCTCTGATAGAAATCAAGGCGTCTGCCTTTTGGAATCGATTCAGACCCTAGTCTCCCCAGCCCTGAGTCAGAAGCTAGGCACTGGCGGCTTCTGTACTTACGACACGTCTTGTCGCTGAGATTACACTCCAGGAGCACCCGCGCCGTGCCCCTCTTCTCTCCCATTGCCACACAGCTTCTCGAGTCTCTGCTGGGCTCACAGAATCAGCGCAGACCATGAGCACGGCTGTGAGGGATTCCCGATCACTGAGCACTGCTGGGGACGAGTATGCATGAATTTTGGAGTGCGTCACTAGTCCGTCCACAGCTGCCTCTCGGTCACTCGACCTCTGTCCCCTTGCCTGATTCTCAGACTGAAAGAAGCCTTTACCGCCCCCCATTCTCCCTTTTCTATTTTATAGCTTTACAGCTCTCATCTGGTCTTGTCCTTTCATTGCATCACTGCTGAATTTTTTTTTAGATTTTCCTTTTCCACCCCAAACCTCTGCTACCAAGCTCAAGTACAGATAGATGCACAGTACCTGTCTGAATAATTGTTAACCGTGGATTACAGGGGTGAGCTGTACCTCACCTACAGTCTAAGCACGTCAGGCTTCTTAGCTGTTGGCCATTCACCCCCTCGGCGAACCTCCCTGGGATCCAGGACCCCTCAAGGTCTGGTATAGCGGGGCTGCTGCTGGGAATTCATACTGAAGACAGGGTGGGGAGGGAGGCACTGGTGTTTAATCACAATGATGTAGTCACTATTACTGTTTGTTAGTGACCAGGGCCTTTGTGCTGAGCTACATCCCAGACTTTTTATTTTTTGAGACAAGGTCTCAGTCACTAAATTGACCAGGTTAGGCTCAAACTTGCAAAACTCTTGCCTCAGCCTCCCAGCGTGCTGAGATTATAGGTGTGCAACACCACACCCAGATACTACTATTTTATTTTTTTAATAATTTTATTTTATCCCTCCCCCCTCAAGTCCCCTCCCCTCCCTATGTACACAAGCTTTGTTTCCATTTTTAGATAGAAAAAAACTGGAAAAAGCCAGATCATCATTTCAATAAAACACCACATAACCAAAGAATGACTTCTGTACATATACAATAAAGACAGTGGTTCAGAAAAATTTTAACACCATAGACAATGAAAACTGTGAAAGTCTACACCAATGAAACCTTGATTAAAACTGTATTTGAAATTTTTTAAAAATTGTTATACCTGTGCAACACATTTTTTAAATTTTTAAGGAAAACTTTTAAATATATTCTTATTAGTGCCCATTAATTTTACAAAATATTGGATTTCAATGTGGTATTTTAATACATGTGTATATGGTGATCATATTTATCCCCTTGATTATCCTTTCTTGTACTCCCCCATTCCTTTCTTCTTGTGCAATAAAGTCTCCCTTCTACTTTCCAGTCATCTTCTTTAGATTCCATGTATTCGAGAAAACCTGACACTTTTCTTTCTCAGACTGGTTTATTGCATCTAACATGACGATCTCCAGTTTTGTTTTCCTGCAAATGACATAACCCCATTCTTCTTGACAGCTGAATAGTATTCCATCATGTGTCTGTGTTGCATTTTTGTTATCCATTCATCTATTCATGGGCTCCTAGGCTGGTTCCACACCTTAGCTACTGTGAATTATGCCACAATACAGATGGGTGTTCAGGTGTCCCTATAGTATGCTGACTTCCATTACTTTGGTATATACCAAGGAGTGGTATAAGTAGATAAAATGGTAACTCTTTTAGTTTTTTGAGGAGCCCCTTTACTGACTTCCATAGTGGCTGTGCCAATTCATGTGCCCTGTATAGAAGAGTTCTTTTGCCCTGCATCCTTGCCAGCACCAACTATTTTGTTTTTGTTGTTGTTTCTGTTTTTCAGCTCTAGGGATAAAACCTAAGCCTTTGCACTGAGCTATGTCTCCAGACATTTTTAAATATTTTGTTACTTTCCTCTTTAATTTAGAGACAAGGTCTTACTAAGTCACTGAGTTGCCCAGGCTGGGCTCAAACTTTTGATTGTCCTGCCTCAGCTTCCCAAAACACTGGTATTACAGGCCTGTGCCACCATGCTCAGTTTACTGTTTTTTTTTATTCTTGATGATAGCCATTCTGACTGGGATGAGATGGAATCTCAGTGTAGTTTTTGTTGTTTTGGGGGTTTTTTTTGGTACTGGGGATTGAACTCAGGACCATGTACTTGCGAGGCAGGCATGGTGCCACTGAGCTAAATCTCTGACTCATCTCAATGTAGTTTTGATTCCCATTTCTCTAATAGCTAAAGATGCTGCTGGGAGTGGTGGCCCACACCTATAATTTCAACACTCAGGAAGCTGAGGCAGGAGGATTGCCACAAGTTCAAGGCCAGCCTGGGCTACACAGTGAGTTTAAGAATATGCTGGGGATTTAGCTCAGTGGCATCATGCCTGCCTCATGAGTGGAAAGTCCTGAGTTTGATCCCTGGTACTGGAAAAAAAAAATAAGAATACCCTGAACAACATACCAAGACCCTGTCTAAAAAAAAAAAGCTAAACATTTTTTCATATACTTACTGGCCATTTGTACTTCTTTTGAGAAGGGTCCATTCATTTGTCTACTTATTGACTGGGCTATTTTATTTTTTGGTGTTCAGGTTTTTTGGTATTCTTTATATATTCTAGATATTAATCCTTGTCAGAAAAATAGCTAGCAAAGATGTTCTCCCATTCTGTAGGCTGCCTCTTCACTCTGTTGTTTACCTTGTTGTACAGAAACTTTTTAATTTTATGTAGTACCATTTGATGATTCTTCCCATTATGTCCTGTGCTATTGGAGCCCTATTCAGAAAGTCTTTACTTGTGCCTATGGCTTCAAGTGAAAACACTTGAAGTTTCAAAGTATCAGGTCTTATACCAAGGTCTTCGATCTATTTTGAATTGATTTTTGTGAGAGATAAGGATCTACAAGTAGATAGCTGGTTTTGCCACCACCATTTATTAAAGAGGCTATCTTGGCTCCAATATGTTTTTGACTCCTTTGTCAAGAATCAGGTGGCTTACTTCCAAAACTGTTATACAAATTTAGTGTAAAAAAAAAAATTTAGTGCAATCCCAATCAAAATACCAATAGCACATCTCACAGAATTAGAGAAAACAGTCCTAAAATTTGTTTGGAACTAGAAGAGACCTAGAATAGCAAAAGCAATTCTGGGCAACACAGGCAAAGAAGGAGGCATCACAATACCTGACTTGAAATTATACTACAAAGCTACTGTGATAAAAACAGCATGGTACTGGGGAAAAAAACAGACTCAAGGATCAATGGAACAGACTAGAAGATACAAAAACAACTCCAAACACACTGAGCCATGTAATCTTTGACAAAGGAGCCAAACACCTTCACTGGAAGAAAGGCAGCCTCTTTAATAAATAGTGCTGGACATTGAAATTAATATGCCATTTTTGTCTGTCATAAAAGCTGAAAATTGACTAAAATGAAAACCAATTATTCATGTTTTATAGATAGTTACTAATATTCTTTGTTACAGTTTTGTGCACAGCATATTAAAACATAACTTGGATTGTTCCAGTGTGTAACATGAAGGGCCACATTATGAATAATTATATTATCATGGGCTTTTGCACTGTTATTATTTTTCCTTTTGAATGTGAAGGTCTGAATGAAGATTTTGATTTTGAATGTTTCAATGTTTTTGAGAAGGCTTGCTTACATTTTATAGTGTAGTCACTGGAAATGGAAAAATGGCATTATATATATTATATATAAATATATATTATACATATTCTCCTTTACTTCAGTTACCATCCCCATAGAATTTGGCAAGAATTGCTATGACTGAAAGGTTTTCAAGTCCTAATTAAAACTTTATTTATAACAGTAAAAAAAAAAATGATGCTGGAAAAACTGGCTTTCCACATCCCAAAGGTTAAAACTAGACCCATCTTTCACCATGCACTAACCTAAAATTGAAATAGATAAAAGATCTAAATATTAAAACAGAAACACTAAATCTGCAGGAGGAGAGAATAGGTAGAACGCTTGAAGACACTGGTGTAGGCAAAGACTTTCTAGCAAAACCCCCATCTCACAGGAACTATCACAGAATCAACAACTAGGATCTCATCTTATTAAAAAGCTTCTGCACAGCAAAAGAAACCACCAACAGGGCTAACAGACAACCCAGAGTGCGGGAAAAAAGTTTTGCCAGCTGTTCCTCAGACAAAGGTCTACTATCTAGAATATATAAAGAACTTAAAAAAATCAGACCTCCCAAATTTAAAGACCCAATCCAAAAATGGGCCTCTGAAATGAATAGACATTTCTCAGATTAAGTAGAAATGGCAAATAAATACATGAAAAAATGTTCAACATCACTGGTCATCTGAGAGATGCAAAGTAAAACAATGCTGAGATTCCACCTCACCCCAAAAAGAATGGCTGCTATTGTGAAATCAACCAATAACAAATGCTGGCAGGGCTGTGGGGGAAAAGAAACCCTGCTCCACTGCTGGTGGGAGTGTAGACTGGTGCAACCACTGTGGAAATCAGTGTGGAGATTTCTCAGAAAACTAAAACTAGAAAAACAATGTGGCACTCAAACATGTATGTCCTGATTTATTTCACTTAAGAGTATGGTCTCAAGGTCCACCCATTTAGCTGTAAGTGTCTGAAGCTCATCCTTCCTTGTGGCAGAGTAGTTTTATAAAAAAAAAAAAACACACAAAAAACCCACATCTTCTTTATCCACTCACCAGTTGATGGGCACTTGGGCTGTTTCCAACATTTAGCTATTACAAACTGTACCACTATAAACATGGGTGTGCATATATCACTATAGTATGATGCTTTTAATTCTTTTTTTTTTTTTTTTTTTTTTTTTTTTTGGTACCGGGGATCAAACTCTGGTCCTTGCAGTTGCAAGGCAGGCAGCGGAACCACTGAGCTAAATCTCCGGCCCTATGCTTTTAATTCTTTCAGGAAGATACCAAGAAGAGGATTAGCTGGCTCAAATGGAACCTCTACTTTTAATTTTTTGAGAAATCTCCACACTGATTCTTATGGTTCAAAAATAACATTAAACACTATAGCATAAAAATATTTTCCCACTCCATCCTCTTCTATTAATCTGGTTCCCAATTCTCTTCCAAATGGACTGTGGATAATAGTTTCTTAAGTTTTAAAACATGCTACAAAAAAAAAAAAAAGACATGTTATAGTAGGCAAGTCTTGAACTTTAAATCCTCCTGCCTCAGCCTCCCAAGTAGCTAGGATTGCTGGTTCTTTCTGAAGAAACCTGATAGTTACCACTCTCTCACGTATCTACCAACTTTATGTTTTGCCCTTGCTTGAAAATAGTCTGTGGCTCCATGGTCAGCACTACCCACTCCTTTAACTGTGCTTAGTCTGAAACAAAATGTGGTGATTTTCAGTTAATGATCCTAAATATGCAATCCGATTTTGTAATGACTTGATAAAAAAGATTAAAAAGTCAGAAGTATTACTTATATGATATTAGGTTTGTAAATGAATTACATTAGCCGTATTATTATTCTTCCATCACATTTTGTGTTTTACTACTCCTATTAATCAGCACAATGTAATTTATTCATCCAGAGCCTCTGTTCCTGAAAGATCTATGCAGTTCCCACCTCACCCCCTCTCCCAGCTTCCTGGAGCTTCATGAGCACCTATGGAGGGGACAAGTCCCTTAAGACTCAGGAGAGAGGGCGGGGGATTTAGCTCAGTGGTTCCAGTGCCTGCCTCGAAAGTGCAAGATCCAAGTTTGATCCCTGGTAGCCAAAGAAAGACTCAGGAGAGAGACAAGTGTGTTGCTGGTTGACAAAAGCCTAGGCAAACAGAAGCCAGAAGAGGGAAAATTTCACAGAGGAGAGAGAAGTTCTTATCTGTAGAGCTTCTACACAGCAAGGGATCTATGAAATCAAGGAAAATTAGGAAGCAAAGTCCACCTCATTTAGTTTGGTAGCCAAAAGGCAAGGAGAAAAGTCGTGAGAAAGTTTCCACAATTCTTGAGACAGTGTGGAAGGAGAAGCAGCAGCAAGAGCACAAGAAACTGCTGGAGCTAAGGGCGTCTTAAAGCTGAACATTAGCTTGGCCGGGAGAACTCAGAGGCCACTTGGAAATCTCTTACTGCCATCGTCGTTCCGATTTTCTTTCCCCTTGCTTCCCGTTCAGGGCACTATCAGATGTAATTATTTTTATTCTGGGAGCAGCCAGTTTAACAAGTTTGGCTCTCGGGGGAGTAGGTGCCATGAGCATGATCCCTGTTCCACAGAACAAGGAGGAAAAGGGTCCATCAGCAGCCTGCTCAGACTCGTGAGCTCTGCTCAGAAACCAAGCCACACACCCGCACATGCGTGCCGCAGGAAGTGACCTGAAACCCTGTGTGCACAGAGCCCCCCACCCTGCCCTTAGCGGGCCACACAGTTACAGGCACGTGACAAACATACCCTACCCGGTGACTCACCTCGTGTGTACGCCCGCATGCCTGGATATTACACTTCACGTAGAGCACTCGCCTTTGCATGTAACATGACTTTCTATTGTACCAGGTGCTTACCTTCGCTTGTTTTTGTCATGGGAAAAGATTCGTTAACACCTAGCAGCCCAGTGAAACTAGAACTAACTAGAACTAACTGAACATCCCTGTAGACTGGATTTTGTGCTTTCTGTGATGGTGCATGCTGACACACAAAAACCAGCATCGATCACTGTAAATTAAATGATTGAACCTGCAGTGAGGCTCTATGGTGTATGTGAGAAGGTGGGTGAATTTCATGAAGTTGCTTGTATCAAGGCACATGATTATAATTAGTAGTTGAATTATGCTCTTTTAAATAGTGTTTAATATTTTAATCATCTTTGTATGTCCTGTCTTGAATTATCATCCTTTAGTTTTCTCAAACCCAGTCTTTTAAAAAAACTACCAATAAAATTTCTTGATTAAAAAAAGTTACTACTTGATATCAAGCTGCAAAAAAGAATGTCTTGAGGTCACCCATGTCCGCTGGTTGGCTCTTCCTATGGATTCAGTCCCCTAACTATTAGAAGAAACGCCTTAGATAGAATGATAAAAGCTCTCCGTTGGCTGTTTCTCCTCTTCACTGGACTATAAAATACTTAAATGTATAAACCATGAGCCCACAGCTGACGCCATGTAACAAAATCTGGGGCACTGGAATCAAGGGTTTAGTGCACTTATGAAATTGTTATTCTGATAATTCCTTCGACAGCTGCAAAAGATTTTTGTATATAGCTTGCCAAAAGTTTGCACAAACCTATCTGGACAATGCCAAATCTCTCCAGGCAGGATTCTAATGAAAATAATATTACTGCCTCATCAGTGGCTGTTTGTCCTCGATTTTTCTCTTCTCAGTTACTTCAGGTTTTTTCTTAGCATTTTAAAAGAAATGGATACTGCAGGAAGTAATCTGAAGCACTGCTCCCCTCTCCTCTCTAATTGAGAATCCAGAGAGGGAAACAGCACAAGGAAGAAGGAGATAGAAATAGGAAGAGGATGAGAGTGAAGTGGGGAGCGAGGGACGCCCCCAAATATGTGCATGTCTGGAGATTATAGAAGTTAGTGATTGTAACTATAGTAGAACTGAACATTAATGTTCACTTTCTGGCGTTTGCACATGCTTACCAGTATAATGCCACACTGTATCTCTGTGTCTGTTTCCATGCACACAGAGTTTTACTGCAATCACACAACCCTTGTTAGTGACCTTTCTGCTTAATTAGCACAATGTCATCTCCCAGACACCGTCAGCGTTCCCAGAAGAAACTCATCTTACCAGAAAATATCTACATAGAAGTCCTAAAATCTGGTTCCTTCTCCTGATCTCTTGCCTGCTTCTGCAGTGTTAAAAATCTCTCAGCTGAGCCCGGGGATTTAGTTCAGGGTTTCCACAGCCTGCCTCTCAAGTGCAAGGTCCTGAGGTCAATCCCTGGTACCAAAAAAAAAAAAAAAAATCGCTCAGCTGACCTCAGAACCTCTGGCCTTGTTCCAGGAAAGCATGATTCAGTCTGCACACCAGCCTCTCCCTCAGCCTCGCCACCTGCCGCTCTGTGCGTGTGGGCCCGCAGCTGTGCTCTTTATGGTCACAGAAGAGCCCCACCCTCACAGGTAGAGGACAAACTGGGTCAGGGAGCCACCAGTGGTCGTGGGCTGTGGAGTACAGGACTCAAAGACTCACGGAGTGGAGGGTAAGACAGACGGAGGTGGTAGCCCCACATGGACAAAGTCTGACTTGCTGCATGCTCAGCCTTCTCTTCTCCTCTTCCTTTCTTCCTTATTCTCAATCTATCTAGAAATAAACCTCACTTATTGGGGTGAAATCATTGAATGGGTAGTAATATTGAGAAGAACCGCTCAGATGGAGGGGAACTTATTTATCTCCAACATCCTGTAAAGCAAGCTGTCCTTCCTGTTTTTGGACCTCATAAACTTTAATTGAACAACTTCCCTGTGGCCTTTCAGACAAAGGAGGAAAGGCAAAAACTGAGGACGTGGATTATGAGGGATTAGGTTGTGAAGTAGCCACATGATGAAAATAAATGAAGGCAATAGATGTGCCGGGTTTCACACCCACGCATAGGTCTTTTACCTACAAACCAAATGTCCCTTAAACTATTATGCATATGTATTTGTCATGCACACGAATGACACCAACAGTGCCAAGCAGGAACTACACCAGAATCCAGTAGTCGTGGAAACCACAATGCTGAAACCAAATGTTACCAAATACACCGTAATTTGAAAAGAACATAAAATGTGCCTTGTGTGTTCTTTAATGTTCTTATGGGGACACAAATTATGTTCCCATATCTTTCTTCAAAGTATATTTTGAAAATTAAGGTAGAAGCAGAATTTTTTTCAGTACTTACTGGAATATGGACTCTTGGATTATTTTCTTGGGTCTGACCCAAATTCTGTTTCTTCTGCTTTTGTGAGTGAAATTCCTAAGACTAGAAATCTTTCACTGCAATCATTAGAGCCAGGAAAGGGCTCAAAATGCCAGGGAACAGAGCACAGGTCCTCAGCCTGGCTCTGCCAGGGACCCAGTTCTGCCTTTCTATGCAGGCAAACTGTGAGGGGACAAAAAGGCACAGGATTGGGCCGGGAATTTAGCTCAGTGGAACCCCACCTGCCTCACAAGCGCAAGGTCCTGAGTTCGATCCCTGGTATCCAAAGAAAAGAGGGCACAGGAGGCGAGCACACTGGAGAGGAACCTCTCGAAGTCCATGGCAGCGACTCGCCTTGTGCCTGCGGTGTCTCCCAGTGGGGATGAGCCGGGGAGGAGAGGAAGTACTTCTGTCCTCCTGCTCTGCTCAGACACAGAGAGACTGTAACTGTTCTGATCTCCTGCTTTCTGGGTGACCCAGGGCTTGAAATGAACTTTGAAACCCTCGGAAAAGAGGTTCAGCCACGGTGCCCAGGATTTCTAAGCCTGTTTAATAGAGGTCTGTTGACAATAAGACTGAGCATTATCAGCTTTTCTTGCTTCTTGTTTTCACCTGTCTGTGGGAATTCCTGAAGCACATGTGATATACAGTCCAGAAGAGAAACCCTAATTTGTATCCTGGCATCTCAGGAGAGTTTACTTTGTAGAGGAACAAAGTGATTGCAAGACAGGTAGGCCGCTTAACTTCTAGTAAGACGACACCAGCACTCACACACACCTAAACAGCATCAGATTTAAATATGATGACATAGGTAGACATACCTTATTTCCTCAGAGGTTTTGTACAAATTCAAAATGTTTTATTTGTATTACAATTACCACTTTCCTTTTCATGTTCCCAATTCTGTAACCCTCCCACCTCAAAAGCCCAGAAATAATATATCTTAAATTAGACATTCTCTTATTGATTATGTTTTCTTCCTGGATCACTAAAAAAACACCAATTTCCTCCATCTCCAGTTTCCTCAGCCCAGAACCAAAAAGAGGGAAAAGCCAACAACACATCCAGCACCCGCTGTATACACAAGTGCCTCTCACCCACCTTCTCATCCTTCGGTCTTCTTTTCTTGTCTGATCAACACATCAGCCGAGACCTGCCTCGGCCCTCTCTCATGCACCTTGTTCCCACCGCTGTCAGCCACATCGAATTTCCAAGGATTTCCAAGGACTGGTCTCCCTCCCTGGGATTCATCCTAGGCTTTTCCTTCTCAGGGGCACTTCCGGTTCTTTAAAGTTCTCCTGGCGGTTTTCCCCATAAGTGAGGAGATCTGTTCTGTTTTCTGACCAATCTTCCAACCTGTTCTGGCACACTGGCCTCTGGCAGAGAGGAGGGCTCAACCTGAGAAAAGCAGGTGGAGGACAGTCTGCACAAGACTGGAGGAGCGGGTGCACACATACACACACACACACACACACACACACACACACACACACACACAGCGCGCGCTTTCTCACTCTGATAAAGGAGCTCCCAACCAGCCAGGCGGAGAACAGATACACAGGCCATTTCACAATCAGGAAATCCACCCGGCTGCCCTCTACCTCAGGGCTGTGTCACGTAGGGTGCGCCCCAGAAAAGGTCCTGCCCTCGGGACGTACTCTCGGGTAAACACTAACACACGCCGGGACGATGAAAAGGACCCCGCACGGGAACGGCTCACCAGCCACCTCGCTCCGCGTAGCGGGGAGTCAGAGGAGCTCCCTTCCTTCGGGAGCAGGTCGGCGGGTTCCCGGAGAGCAGCCCGGCTGCAGGAGGTGGGGTCAGCCCAGACTGGTGCTGTGATAACAACCAGAGTTTTGAAGTTCTACTGGTTCGCTGGGTGAGTCATAGAGCACCCACAGTCCTGACACCTGACCTGGCCGTTCCTTTTCTCCTTACTTGAGGAATCAGGAGACTTTCATCTCTCCTGAGGGCAGTAAAGAAGTACAAAGAGCAGCAGGAAGTGAATCACACCCATAAAAGGGACAGGCGGAGGAACTGGTCCCACAAGGACTTAGCCCACCTCACTGTTTTCCTCCACAGGCTGTCCAATTCCAGAGGGTCTCTTTTGCATCTTCCCACCTGTGCCCTGGCAGCTCCAATGTCTACACCTGCCCTGCCCTGCCCACAATTTCCCATGATGCAGTGATAGGAAAGGAGGCTTCTTTCCAGTTGGGCTTCTATTCAGGTCTTCCCTCCAACACTCATTTTCGCTTTAGTTAAGATATTTTAAGTTTCTGAGCCTCGGTTTTCCACCTGGAAAGTGGCGATGATGACATCTATCTTCCAGGGATGTTGAGAGTTATATGGCTTAATTCATGTCAATTACCTACTCATAGAGGACCACTGCAGACCGTGTCAGTCTTTCTCTTCTTCCTTTCCTTCTTCATCTGCCTCGCAGGATAGGACATAGTCACACAACCACATTAGTCAAATGAACATATATAACCAAAATTAGCAAAACAAAAACATTTTATCTAAATATTTATAATATTGGGGCATCCAAGTATATGCATTCCTGGATGGGGAGAGGGAGTTAAAATAATCATAAAGTTAATGTGGTTTTTTTTCATTAATTCCTCATACTTCACCTCGGTTTCACTTGACAACTTAAATTTTATAGCTGGTGGTCAGTCATGGACTTTGACAAGCTTGTTAAAGAACAAAAATTTAAACAGAATGGACCAAAGAGCATAATACTGTAAAATAAGGGTATAGAAATGGAAAAATGGCTGGACTGTGGTATATTAATTAATCAGGGAGAAGCTCTCAGCACCTGCTCCATTTCTTCTCCATCTAAATTTCTCAGCTCCTAGCAGCTGGCTCCACTGATATCATATCTATGCAGGATAATTTCCACTCAAGTCCTGAATCAATCCTGATGGTAGCCATAAAGACACCAAGAATTTTATTTCCCTTCTTTCTATTTTTCTTACTATACTTTCCCATTTGGGAAGCTGTAGCCTTGACCCCAGGTCTGCCCATGTTTAGGATTCAAGCCTCCTCAAATACGAAGTTTTGTTTGCAGTGCCACATGGGGCCTTGTCCTCTCCTTGCCTAAAACAATCCTCCTAAATAAGATTGAAACGTTGTTCTACAATTCTGTTATTGAGCTCTCGCTATGAACAGAAATATCTTCCAGACGAACCCAACCCTGCTGGCCCATGCCCGATTTATTGACCATCATCTTGGCCCTATTTGAGTTCATTCCCACCTGCGTGCTCAAGACCCATTCACCTGAGTCCTGCCAGCCACACCAGAAACCTTGCTTGTGCATTTCTGCCTGAATTTTACTCTCTAACACAATTATTCTCCTGTGCCTAGAGTCATCTGTGTAATCAGTTTATCTTAAATTATTCACTCTTAGGGATCTCACTGCAATCCAAGTCGCTCATCTAGAGGTTAAACAATCACAAAATTCATGCAAATGTTTGCTGTGAAGGAGAAATGCAGGGTACCATGAAATGTGTTATATATATAGATGCACCAACTCCCCACACTAAACATAATCATTATGTACTGCAAATGAAAATGAAAATGAAATCAATATTAAATTTTAAAAGAGGAAAGGAATTAAGAAAATTGCCCTAAGTGGTATTTAGGGAGAGACAAACTTTAAGTAGGAGCTGACTAGATCAAGGTAAGTAGGAGATACAAAGAAAAAAAGAAAAGAGAAAATCTAGGCTGTGAATCGGAACAGAGCCTAAACATTCTCAAACTGGAAGGTCTGTATTCAGACGGTGGCAAGAGAAAGGAAAATAAGAAAAAATGGCATTGCCATGCAGGCCAGGGCCGTCCTAACGGGACTTTCAGGCCATGCGCAGTGTCGCGTGTTTTATTCCAAACACCCGTGCACGAAGTGCCTCTAGTAGAGAGGGACACGAACTGTTTTGTATTTGAAAGTTTCTCATTAGGAACAGTACTCAGCTAAGAAGGAACAAAGTACTGATAAGTGCAACCATTCGGTGCCGCTTACAGGCATTGTGCTGAGTGAGAAAGGCCAATCTCAAAAGGCTACAAACTGCAGGATGACATTTTGAGAATATTTTCCAAAATGACAAAATTAAAGAAACAGAGAAGACTAGACCAGGGGTTGCCAGAAGAAACGGGAAAGGAGCGATGACTATGAAGGGCTAATGTGAGAGAGTCCCTCTATGTTGGAGACAACTCTGTACCTCCATTCTCTCGCTTTGATTACTGCTGCCTCAGCACAGCAGTCTGGAGAGCGTGCATCCTCCCTTCGGTGCGTTGGCCTGAACGTGGATAAAACCCCTTTTCTCCTAATACAAGCACAGCACACAAAAGTGAAAATGCCAAAAGACTTGCTAAAGGATAAGAGAGAAGCGAAAAGTACAGAACCAAGGGTGGGTGTGGATGTGCATATTTTCCTAAGTAGCAGACATTTGCCATCCTATTGCATCTGGCTTGTTACTTTGACATAGCCACTGTGGCCCAGCAGCTATCTGATCTCTGTCACCTGCCTTTGTCTTTATCTTGGGGGAGTACTAGAAATTGAACCCCAGGCCTTTGCACTGAGCTACATCCTCAGACCTTTTGTTTTTTTTATTTTAAGCCAGGGTCTCACTAAATCACTAAATTGTTCAGACTGGTCTAGAGCTTGTGACCCTCCTGCCTCAGCCTCTCACAGTGCCGACATTACAGGCATGCACCAACATACCTTGCCTAGCTTTCTCATCTTTCAAACTGGGTATGCAAAATATTACTTAACTCAAAGAGTCATTGTAACTGAAGCATGGTGGCAAATACCTGTAATCCCAGCAGTTATGAAGCTGAGGCAGGAGGATCACCTCAAGTTCCAGGTCAACCTGGGCTACAAAGTAAGTTCAGACCCAGCCTGAACTACATAGTCAGACCTTGTCTCAAACAAAGAAACAAACAAAAAAGTCCTTGTAAGAATTAAATAATAGGGGCCGGGGATTTAGCTCAGTGGTTTCGCCACCTGCTGCGCAAGCGCAAGGACCCAAGTTCGATTGCCGGTACCAAAAAAAAAACACAAAGAATTAAATAATAGCATGCTTATATATTTTATGTGCATAGAATACCTGGCACATAGTTAATACTAGCTGTTACTAGTTATTCTTATTATAAGAATAAAAATATTCCTATGATAATTATTATTACCATTATCATTATTATTCTTGAAGTGACAACACCTTAAAATGACCTCTCCTTTTGGGTATGACTTTCCTTCTATATGATATCAATATTATAATATCAGTGCTACAATATTCCTATTTCTAAGTGTGATTGGCATAATAGAATTATTTCCTGACACGTAAGTTTAATGTATCCTTAAACTAAATCTTACCTATGCTTCTACTACAACTGTCTCACCCTCCTTCTGCAAAGTATCTGTTTTTAGTTCTTAATTTTTTGTCATGTTATTTTCTGTAAGTTGCTTCATTTTTTGAATTTGAAATATCACATACTTTTTTAAGTGTTGCACATTTTGAATTTCTTTTTCTAGACTCTAATCCTAAAATCTTAAGCCAGTTATACTTCAGGAATTGTGTGGTTTCTCTTTTATTAATTTCATTGCTTACAATACAGATTAAATCAATTAAATCAGAATCAGACTCTTTGGACATAGAAAATGAGTACTAAGGTTTGTTCTGCATCTTTCTTTATGATGGTAACAAAACTAGGACAGAAATGGACAGAGAGACCAATGGACCGGAACAGGGGCCACGGAAACAAACCCCTGCAACTACAATCATCTGGTTCTAGAAAAGGAGCTGAAAAATATATGGTGAAGAAAAGACAGTCTTTTCAACAAATGGCACTGAGAAAGCTGGATATCCACTTGTAGATTTAAAATAGATCCTCATCTATCACCCTGTACAAAAAGCAATTCTAAATGGACCAAAGACCTAGGGATAAGACCTGAATCTGTAACTAGGCATGGTGGTCTGCATCTGTAATCCCAGCCAGCACTCTGGAGGCTGAGACAGGAGGATAGCAAGTTCGAGTCCAACCTGGGCAACTAGAGATACAGCTCAGTGCGAAGCCTCGGTCCAGATCCCTAGTGGCATGAAATTTTAAAAAATAAAGACCTGAAACTTTGAAAATGTTGAAAGAAAACATAGATAGGGACCACACTTGAAGCTGTAAGCACAGGCAATGGCTTCCTGAATATGACTTCACTGTCACAGGAACTAATAGAGAGAATCAACAAATGAGAATAAGTGAATTTAAGTTTCTGTTGAGCAAGGGAAACAACCAATAGAGTGAAGAGATGGCCTACAAAATGGGAGAAAGTAATTGGCAGCTACTCTTCAAGTAGATGATTAATAGCTAGAATATCTGAAGAACTCAAAAGCTTGACACAAAAAAATAAAAAGTCAAATAGCTGGGCATAGTGGTGCACACCTATAATCCCAGCACTTGGGAGGCTGAGCCAGGACGATCACCACAAGTTCTAGGCCAGTTTGGCCTACATAGAAAGTTCAAGGCCAGCCTGAACTACATAGCCAGAGCCTATCTTTTAAAAAATAAAGAAGAAGAAAAGAAAGAAAGAAAGAAAGAAAGAAAGAAAGAAAGAAAGAAAGAAAGAAAGAAAGAAAGGAAGGAAGGAAGGAAGGAAGGAAGGAAGG